GACTTTTATTGTTTGCTCCCACGATTCCGCTGGGCTGCCTGGTGCTTAGTTCCCCTCTGAAAAATTTGTACAGTATTTTCCCTGCCAGGATTCATAGAGCCTAAGACCACCACGAGTATACGAACTTAAGGAACGAAGAAACAAAAATTGCCCCTGAAATCCGTTTGTGCACCCCTAACCCGCAGCATGCCCCTCGCTCACCACTACTCGATCCGTCTATGCGTAATTCGTAGTGTTTTGGCAACTGCTTATTTTCTGAAATTGCCTAACCACATAGTCGAAGGCATGCTTGTATAATCCAGTTATTCCAAAAAACCGAAGTGCCTTCTTATCCTAAGGAGAGGTCCCAGGAATAGACATCTTTGCACTCCATGCAATTTTGGGAAAGCTGCACCTTCTCTCCAAAACTGCTCTTGGCCCCAAGCTCTTCAGATTGCCTTCATGACCTCTGGGGGAAATCCTCGATCAGTTAGGGGCTTCATCAGCCCCTTCTCACCCCACTGCCCCGTCATAAAGGAAATCGTTCATGAATTCAGTCATGAATTGCAGAGAATTCTTTCATTTTGAAGCAGCTGTGGAGTCCGATATAGTGCCGACATAGAAAAAGATTGAACCGAGCAGGATGTTTAGACCTGATGATGTTTTCTTCATACTCTTCCGTGGCCCTCCCTATTCGCGCCTAGTAACTACCCTCTTCTCTACCTCTTCATGTTTCTCCCTCTTGCTACATTTCTGACAGTTGTGACTTAGCTAAGAAGTAAATACAAGCTATCTGTCCTTTTTTCAACTCCTGATGGTCTGGATACAGATGATTCAGGATAAAGCAAACAGGTAATAAAACTGCACATGGCCTAATCTGTTCTGGACTTAAGAACTAGGGAGAACCGATATTCTCTACAAAATAAGACTTAGGAAAGTTCTGTTGGGAAAAATAATGACCACAAAAGAAATCTCACAGTGGCAGAGTAAAATTTGATACCTACAAAAAGTAGGTTGATGAATCAAATCCTTGTATGTAATCTAACCAGGGAAAGCATATGAACTATACGTAAAATAATACCAAGACAAAGTGAAATGGAAAACATTTGGATAACTTTTACTGCATTGCTTAGAAAGTTGAACCAGGAATAAACCTGGCTTAGTGAAATCTCCAGAAATGCTTTCGTAATGAAAATCCATTCATGTCTGCATACATTTGTTTAAAATATTGGCTCAAGTATAGTGGGGTCAGAATAGTGGGGTCGTAATGATCCTCCAAAAGGATTAACAGAAATTAACTTAGGAAAACATAGGCATTTCATATATTCCTTATAGCCAGTTATGAGGACCAAAGCTGCTGGAGTCTAGGAAAGAGTAAGACTTGGAAAAGGCTTTTTTCTTTGAAAAAATTTGAAGGAAGACAGAGATGTTCATTTTGGCCAGAAAAACACATTTTAACTAAAAATATCTGTGATCTCAATATAGCTGTAAACTAAATGTTCCTGTACCTTGGTTTGCTTAAATACCCCTTTTGTTCCCCAAGCTGGTAGACCAGTAAGGTCTACCTATGTGTTGGGATAGTTTCTTTGACCAAAAAAGTAGAGTAAAATTTATTTTGGCAGGTAGTGTAAACTCTGAAATATTTCTTGAATGTAAATTACAATGTCATACTTTACTAATTGCTTAAGTCTTTAAAAAAGTGTTAAAATACAGTTAGGTGCTACTCAAAATCTCAGATGAGAATACCGTTTGATATTTATCTTCAAAAAGCACAAAATGGAAGTTATATATAAAACAAATTGAGTTGAGGGGCGCCTGGGTGGCTCAGATGGTTAAGCGTCTGCCTTCGGCTCAGGTCATGATCCCAGGGTCCTGGGATCCAGCCCCGCATCGGGCTCCCTGCTCAGCGGGAAGCCTGCTTCTCCCTCTCCCTCTGCCTGCTGCTTCCCATGATTGGACACTCTTTCTGTCAAAAATAAATAAAATCTTTAAAAAAAACAAGAAACAAATTGAGTTGGTTAAATTACATTTATAGTCAGCTCATGTACATGAAAATGGCTAGATTTTTTCACCTTACTCTTGTTTTGTGTATACCTGGAAGACCTCCCCTGTCCAAGTTGGGTTTTTTTTTGCTTGTTTGGAAGAGGAAGTGTTGGTGGGTGTGTAAATTTTGCATTCCGCAACAGTACAGTATTTTACTTTGTCACTACTGTTTTGGTGGTAGCTGGGTGCCAAAATTGTGCACACCAATCCTGCACCAGAATTTTGGCCTCTGTCCACGATCAAGTAAACTGATGTAGGAGCAGCTCCCCAGGCTTTTATTTGGTATGGTATTAAATTGTGGAGGGGGAAGAGAGGAAATTAAATCACACTATAGGACTTTTGGCAATCCAAGCGAAAAATGATGCTTTGTTGACATCCAGGGAGGTTTTGGGGGGGGTTTGTTTGTGCTTGTGTATGTGGTTTTGTACAGTACATTTACTGCAGCTATTACTGTAACTGTTAGCAAGTTACTATAGGCACTTTTACAAGCAACCTTAAGAATGAAAGTCAATTTTAATAATCAATTGAATTTATGTAAGTTTCCCATTTAATGCAGTAGAAATTTAGAGGTAATTTTGTGCCAGTTGTTGATTTTAATACATAGGAATAATTACATTTGATTTCCCTAAAATTGGCTAAAATAGATATTTAGAATTGATCAGAAAATAGTTGAGTAGCAACTATGTAATTATGTAGATGAGATTATGTAGTCCTTTGTTGAAAACTGACGGTAAATACTGGGTGAAAGTAGAAGTTGTATGTTGAGATTAAGGTTGGTTATGCACCAGTTTTGCTGGATGATGGGGCTTTTTGCTGTGTATCAAAATTCAGTTACGTAAAAGCCAAGCTCTTTTGCTAGTCTTGAGGTTTCTTTATATGACATAAATTAAATGTAAGAGTGTGGTGTTTAAGTGAACTATTTAATTATTAGAAAAGGAAATATTCCTATTCTAGAGTTAGTACTCCGATTCCTATCAGATGTCATATTAAAGGAGAGCTAATAAGATACTTGGATAATGATTGCTTAATGAGGGGGTTAACAGTCTACAGCTATTTTTAGTTTTAGAACATTCTTTGGCAGTGCTAGAACTGAATGTATATGCTTTAAATAGATTGTGTTTGTTCTGAGACACAAATTATTTTGATCAAGGACCCGATTTTCTCTAGTGCACGGTCTTGGGTTTTCTAACTGAAATGGTAGAGTTATCAAATAGGGAATTCTGTATGAAGGTGATACGAAACCACACTGACTGGTGGTCTTGCTTAATACGAATATTCAGTATTTACATTTTATCATTGACGTAAGTGGAATGATAGTTTGTAGCCAACAGTGAGTCTGGAATTTTGACCCTCATAGCAGCCCCCTGTGGATCAGGTTTCTCAGCCTCAGCCCTATTGTTATTTGGAGCTGGACAGTTATTTGTGGAGAGCTCTTCTGTGCATTGCATGGCGTTTAACAGCACTTTGGCCTCTATCCACTGGCTGCCAGCAGTATCACTCCCAGTTGCGACAACCAAAAATGTCTCCTGACATTGCCAAATATCCCTTGGAGGGCAGAATTGTCCCCAGTGAGAACTGCTTGCTATAGATCTACCTTAGCTTGGAAGTGTAGTTACCTGAGCAGCAGTGTTCATTGAATGGTCATTGCAGAGTTGGGTATACGTTCACGGGGTGGGAAAAGGAGCAAAGGGGAAATAGAATGAATAGCTATGAAAATTACTTTATGGTTTTTAAAATAATGTATAAATACAAATAACCTTTAAGCTGGTAAACTAATGAAATGATGCAGAGTAAAGACATTGGAATTATTTTAGGAATACTGGTGAATTGGGGCACAAAATTTTGGGGAGGGTTTGGAGAAGTTATGTAAAATGATCTGCCCTTGTGTAGAGTATGTGTTCTTTCTATGTATAAGTTATATTAGCCTCCTTTAGAATTGATACTGCATATATTTTTTTAAAAATCTGTTATCTTTCCTCAGGTACTTAAATTAGGGGGTGGTAAACAGATTGGTTTGGCTGGGAAAAACAACCAAGAAATGAAAAATCAGCTAGAGAGAAAATGTGGATAGGACATCAAGGATTAGGGGTTTAGATTTCTGTAAGTAATCGAAGTAATGCCTAGTCAGGGACATGAGGAAGAATATTTTAACTGACATAAAATGTATTATTGGGAAGACAGAATCCAAAACACAGGTTAGAATGCTTAGGATTTTGAATGAAGTTCAGACTGTAGAAAGAAAGGCATGTATGTAGGATCAATTAGAATCAACAGGGTTTGGTAATAGATCGCAGAGTTGAGACTTTAAATTTGAGTCTACAGAACTAGAGTAATAACAGTCCAGAGAAAATCTGAAAAGAGTGGTTTATGGGGGAGGGTTGTGTTTTTTTTTTTTTAAGCTTTTAGTTACATTACTTAGAAGCAGAATCTGCATCTTGTTGCAGAACATAACTAGTTTGTTTCAGTGAATGGTACTGAAGTTCTTCAGTTGTTTCCTTGTTATTAAAGTTGAAACCTTATTGAAGTAGAAATTCTCTCTTGAGCCAAGTTTTTTTCTATCTCTAGTTGTTTTTTGTTTTTGTTTTGCTTTTTTTCCTCCATCATAACATGAGCCTGGTCGGGAAAGATAGGTTGAGTTCAGAACAGCTGCTTATCAGAAGAGAAAGTTTGTAACGAGAATCTTGAATCCTTAAAAAAAAAAATGTTTGGACACTTGTTTTGCAATTTTTCTGGTCCCTACACACAGAATAGGTTTTAACGTTATGCCTTAAAAATTGCTAGGTACTTCCTAAATAATTCAGCCTTTATAAGTTTTCTGAAATCTTTTGTTCACAGTTTTGATTTATTTATTTTGGTTTTTGTTTTGTTTTTTAATTTGTTTCTTGGTGGTAGCTATCTAGAGCTAAGATTTTTATATATTTTAAATGACATCTTCTCTTTTTCTTCCTAGCTCAACATTGTAAAATAAATCCATCAGAATGACACCTTCTCAGGTTACTTTTGAAATAAGAGGAACTCTTTTACCAGGTATTGTAAAATTTTACTTTAAAACAAAATTTTACATGAGTATTTTTCTTATCTTGATTTTCTTAAATATGCAGTTTGTTATTACAATAGGACTAATTTTTAGATGAAACTATCGTTAGGACTTACCTGATTTTTCAGAAATGTGCGTGGAGTATAGTATACTTAAGGGGGCGCCTGGGTGTCTCAGTCGTTATGCGTCTGCCTTCGGCTCAGGTCATGAACCCAGGGTCCTGGGATCCAGCCCCGCATCGGGCTCCCTGCTCAGTGGGAAGCCTGCTTCTCCCTCTCCCACTCCCCCTGCTTGTGTTCCCTCTCTCGCTGTCTCTCTCTCTCTCTGTCAAATAAGTAAAATCTTAAAAAACAAAAAAAGAAAAGAAAAAAAACCATACTTCCCCAAATAGTAAATGTCTTAGTCTCATATTTTCCAAGAAAGCTGTGAATTTATTTAATTTTGCACAGGACGAAGATAGTTGGACTAACCATGAAAATGAGGGAAATTTTGCTAGTGCAAGAAGTTGGTGAACTATTTGGTTAAGATAACTTTGTTCCCTATTTGTAAATTTTTTGGCTTATTGTATGTTTGCTGTTTACTAAAGCAGTGTGAAGTAATTTTAGGGTAAATAGCATATCAAAATAGTATCACGCCTGGGGTATGTATCTCCTTATTTAATATACTCACTATACTGGCCAGTTCCTCAAATCTGTTACATTCTTTCCCTCTTTTGGGCCTTTCTCAAATGGTTTCCTCTGTCTAGATCTGTGGCCTCCCTTCTCCCCTTTAACTCTCCTTAATGCCAACCCCACATTTAGCTAGGTTAGGATCCCTGTGAAATTCAGGGTTCCAGGACTTTTTGTAGTACCTTACAGATTTTATGGAATTATTTGAGTAATTTTGTTTATGGATAGATTGTAAGCTCTGTGAAAATGTGACTTTGTCTTGTCATGCTGAGTGCATGCACCTAACACAGTGCCTGGCTCAGAATAGGGATAAATATGTGTTCAAAGAATGAATAAATGATTCACTCTATATATTCAGCATCTTTGGTCTAGCAGCCATCAGAGTGATGTAGGAAAGGTGTCATTTCGGTTCAAAGCCGTTGGCCAAGAAAGAATTCTTGAGACGTCTTTGGTGTAAAAAGGTGGTTTTATTAAAGCACAGGGACAGGACCTGTCGGCAGAAAAGAGCTGCATCTGGGTCATGAGGAGTGGCCCGCTACATACTTAGAAGTTGGGAGGGGGTTAGGGATAACATAAGTCTCTAAGGAATTTTGGAAGCAAGGTTTCCAGGACCTTGAGAGGTCTAGCTATTGTTGGGAAAAGGTAATTTATTACTGCCTGATAAAACCTTAGTCATGAGACCCTTCAGATGTATATCGGTGTGCCATATGCTTGGGGGATGATTACCAACACGTATCTTGGGGGGGTTTAGAGGTAAAGGAAGTTTCCAAAGGAATTTTTATATGTTAAAGTAGACTTACAGGATTGGGGGGTGGGCAGACTAGAATTGTCTTTTGCCCTTAGCAAAAGACATCGAGGCAGTTGAGTCCCTAGAGGAATGTCACTCTGCCTCTTTCAAGGACTTGTCAGTGGGCTGTAAGTGGTAAGGAAATTTAATAATTTTTCTTCTGCCTTTGTTTCCCACATCAAGAGCAGTTGACAGAGTATATGTTTGTCCAAGTTAAATTCTTCGCCAAGATGATCTGGTAGAGAGCTCCCATCTCTGGGCAGGATTCTGCAGATTGAAGATTGCTAGTCAGCTGATAGGTTGGCTCACTTGGGTCAAGAGCTCACCTCTAGTCCAGTGGATAGCCTTCTCTATGGAGAGAAGACTACAGAGTGGTATCCTATCCTTTCAGGGAATTGTACACAGGCAGTTTAAGGTAGAAGGAGCTGGCCATGTCAGGCATAGAGACCAACCACAGAATTATCCCTAGAAGGGTGAGCTTGATGAGGGTCTTGTTCTCGAGGACTAGAGGGAAGATAGTGGTAGATGTGAATGTAAGAGAGGACCATGTACACAGCAACATGTATGACTTTGGGAATGAATATTTATATGTAGCAACAGCGTTTATCCTTTTTAATCAGAGAAGGTGGTGATAACCTAAGTTACAAAACAAAATCTGGTTACTGTAAAGGATTGGTGAATATTTTGATATGAAATCTCTATATGTAACCACTCTATGCTTGACAGACGTATTTAGAACCCCAAAAACTCCTGAGTGATTATTGCACTTGAAATTTTAGTTAAGTTTTAGACAGTCCAAGCTTATAGAATGCTCATGCAGGTGGTTAAAGCCAACTACAATTCTGGCTTTACTGGAGTAGTGCCTAGAAGCCACTCAGAATGTGGAGGAGTTTGTCTTGAACTTTGTTCTCTTGGCCTCAGTTCATTATCTTTTTCTTTATGAATTTTAATTAGAGTAATTCAGAGTGTATTGCTATGTAAGTCCAAGACTTCTCCACTTATATCCAATAATTTTTTTTTTTTTTTTTAAGATTTATTCATTTTAGAGAGAGCGTGTGCAAGCAGGGGCAGGGGTGCCAGAGGGAGAGGGTGAGAGAGAATCTCAAGCAGACTCCCCGCTCAGTGTGGAGCCCAACACAGGGCTCGATCCCACGACCCAAGATCATGACCCAAGCTGAAACCAAGAGTCGGATGCTCAACTGACTAAGCCACTCAGGCACCTTGAAGTTGTAGACTTTTGCTGAATGTATGTAATTCAGCAAATATAGGTGACAGCTATATTTTGGTTTGTCTATTGATGAGAAGTGTTCAGGTAAAACAATAGTCATTATTTTAGTAAGGAAAACTAGATTTTTCACTATGTAAGTCTTTGTTTTGAGGATTTTTTGTTATTGTTGTTGTTGTCCCCATTGCTAATTTTCTTAATCTTTAGCTTGTTAATAGCCACTGTTTGACTTCCTGGAAAATAATGGTTACTATTTCTCTAGAATACTTACATGCATTTAGTGTGTGCCTTTTTAAATCGGAAGCTGCCTTGAAGGCAAGAACTGTGGCATGATCACTTTGTCTTCTTGGTGCTTGTTATTGGCTCAGTTAAGTGGTTGAACACATGAAGAATAGTTCATCTCTATACATCCCTCCTTTTCTTTGGTTTTGGTTCTGTAGAGGTAGGTCAAGTTAAGAATGCAGGTGTTGGTGCGGTGCCTGGGTCTGACACATGTCTCCAGGGAGGCTCCTCCATGTCTGCTAAAGGAGACTCTGCATCTGGGTGAACTAGTGGAACTGACTGCTCTTTTCATGCTTCCTAGAACTAAAATTTGAAACTTTCTTGCTTAGCCCACTATAACTGGTTGTTCTCTTTCTTTAGGAGAAGTTTTTGCCATATGTGGAAGCTGTGATGCTTTGGGAAACTGGAGTCCTCAGAATGCTGTGACTCTTCTTCCAGAAAATGAGACAGGTGGTGAAAGGTAAGAAGGGAAATAACAGGTTACAGAATAATTGTGACATCCAGATTAGAAACTTGGGGGGGTTCTAAGATACCTTCATATAATTTTCCTCTTTTAGTTTTAATTTTTATGACCGTTCTTGCATGTGCATAGAGTGAAGTAGTTGTACAAGGTTGGTTGTAAAAAAAAAGTTTCTGTTTCTCAATTTCCCACTGCAACTGTTTTCAACTTTTGGCTGGTTCTTTTGGTAGTTACCACCATATTTCTAAATTATAGGCTTATATTGCTATTTCTTATTTTTTTTAAGATTTTATTTATTTATTTGACAGAGAGCTAGAGAGGGAACACAAGCAGGGGGAGCAGGAGAGGGAGATGCAGGCTTCCTGCCGAGCAGGAAGCCTTATGCAGGGTTCGATCCCAGGACCCTGGGATCATGACCTGAGCTGAAGGCAGACGCTTAACGACTGAGCCACCCAGGCGCCCTGCTATTTCTTATTTTTTTAAGCTTTTTTTTAGGTATTATGTTTTGGCTCTCAGTATTCTTTTTTCTTTTTTTTTTTTTTAAGATTTTATTTATTTGACAGAGAGAGAGAGAGCACAAGTAGGTAGAGCAGTAGGCAGAGGGAGAGGAAGAAGCAGGCTCTCTGCTGAGCAGGGATCCTGATGTGGGGCTCTATCCCAGGACCCTGGGATCATGACCTGAGCCGAAGGCAGTTGCTTAACCAACTGAGCCACCAAGGTGCCCCTATATTCTTTTTTTTTTTTTTTAAGATTTTATTTATTTGAGAGAGAGATCGAGAGAGAGAGCACACCAATGGTGGCAGGGGAGGGGCAAAGGGAGGAGGAGCAGACTCCCTGCTGAACAGGGAGCCCGATGTGGGGCTCGATCTCAGGACCCCGGGATCATGACCAGCCAAAAGCAGATGCTTAATCAACTGAACCCCTCTCAGTACATATTCTTGATAAAAGATATGATTTTTGCTTTGGCCTATAAAATAATTTTCTGTAGAAGAGAAGTGGAACACGTATTTTAGTTAATGTACTGAAATGAGTTTGCAACCGACATTAAATACAGCACTAAAGTTAGCATGGGTGTATTGGTGCATTGCAGTGGGGAAAGAAGGCCCTGGGTGCTGGTTTCAGTTCTGCAGTTAACTACAATCTTGGGCAGATCTAATTTCTCTAGGCCTGGGTTACCTCATCTGCATGGTAAAAGGGTTAGGACAGAATCGGTGAATATTGACAAAGATGGTACTTCTTCACTTGGGGATATTTGGAAGTGTTATGGGTTGTAAAGATATATGTGTGGAAGGTAAGGAGAGAGGAGATTTTAAACAGTATACAAACACATGCAGTGGCCCTAGGGAGAAACACCAGATTACATGATTATTAAGCTCAAATTGTTTTCCATGTGGAGCAGTGCTACTGAAAATGTGGCCTGTGGGCCAGTGCTAGAGAAAAAAAAACTTTAGTTTTTCTAATAATCATTGCATTATGTGAGAAATACAGAAATTAAGAGCAATCATTTAGAAATGTTTATAGCACTTTGACATTGCTGGGACATTCATGCATGTCATTGTGGACTCATCTCTGTTGCACTGGATACATAGAATTACTGGTTACAGGACAGACAAGCAAACAAAAACTGGTCCTTCACAACAGATAGCTTGAGGAGCACTGATGGCAAAGCAAAAGAAAGTAACAATACAGTACCATAATGCAAATTAAGGAAAAGAAAAACAGGGGCGCCTGGGTGGCTCAGTCAGTTAAGCCGCCTGCCTTTTGTGCAGGTCATGATCCCAGGGTCCTGGGATCCAGTCCCCCGTGGGGCTCCTTGCTCAGTGGGGAGCCTCCTTCTCCCTCTGCCTGGCGCTCCCCCTGCTTGTGCACTCGCGTTTTCTCTGACAATATAAATGAATAAAATCTTAAAAGAAATCTTTAAAACACCGTTTTCCTATTTGTCATTAGTGTGACACTTTTTCTCATCCAATTCTCAGCTGTTTTTATAAGTAAAGTTTTATTGGTAAATAATACTGGAATCATAGAGGAATGAAATGTTTATTCCCTTCAAGTGGCTATTTTTTCTTCCATTTTCAGATCAGTCTGAAGTAAAACTGTGTATCTTTCTGAACTTGTTCCTAGAACACACCTTGCTGTGAACGCTTGAGCTGCCCTGTCACATGTCTTAAATCCATTTCGGCCAACCTGGTCAAAGTTATGTGAACAGATGAGATAATACTTAACTACGCAACTTGAAGGGACCAGCCACTTTACCTTGCTGACGCACATTGAAATGTAATTGATTCATATATGGCAGATAAACAGTGTTTCACATGGAGAAAGGAAGTAGATGATACAAGAGGATACGAAAAGCATTTGCCTTGAACACCATTCTTGTGTTTTAGAATTGTGTTTATTTGGATTTCAGTGTTGCGCATCTAAGCCCTTTGTACAAAGCTCTTTTTCAGAGTCTCTTAAGCTTCTCCATACCTATAAGCTTGTAGTGACAAGAGCGCTGTTAGGATTTTTTTTTTCAACTTAGAGATAATTTGAAAGTCATAGTATTGTTTCCTAATAATGCAGAAAATGTGAGTCACTTGTTTTATTTGCTCTTGTAGATTTTATGGTATTTTGGGGGAGGATATGAGGTCATTCAAAATCAGGCGGGTGCACTGAGTCTCATTGCCCCTCTCTCCTGACTTTCTGAATTTCATCAGATTATGTTCATTTTTTATGTCACTGAACAGTTCCGGTTCATTTTTTTGTTTTTTTTAAGATTTTATTTATTTGATGAGAGAGAGAGAGACAGCGAGAGAGGGAATACAACCAGGGGGTGTGGGAGAGGGAGAAGCAGGCTTCCCACTGAGCAGGGAGCCGGATGCGGGGCTCGATCCCAGGACCTTGGGATCATGACCTGAGCCGAAGGCAGCTGCTTAACCGACTGAGCCACCCAGGTGCCCCAGTTCCGGTTCATTTTTAACTTTGCAACATTTACTTAGGGAAATGGAATAAAAAAACTCATTGCTTTGCTCTCTCCATCGCTTTTCACTTAGCGGTTCTTAACCAGGGGCGCACGTTAGACTCACTTGTGAGGGCTTTAAAAAATACACATGTCTAGATCCTACCCCTGGGGAATGAGGAAGTAGGCATGAGAGAGGGGCCCCAGCACATTTTACAGAGCTTCCGCTAATTCTACTGTACACGTCTGGCACTGGCTTCACACACTCTGGCTGACCGATTTATGAATGAAATAGTGCTAGAAATTTGCCATTTTTTTGTAGCAGAGATGGGAAATAATTGCACCTCAGAGTTGGTAGATACGTCTGCCTGGAATGCTGTGTTGAAAAGGATTCTGAGGCTTATCAGGGAAAAGTGTGGGCGCATGTGCTGAGCATTTGCCGTTCTTGTTTTATCGCAGTGGCCCTCAGCTAGCCTTCTATCTTCACCTACCCTGTAAAGTTTTATCAAACTCCACGTGACCGGGCTCCACCCAGACCTCTGAAATCAGAGTCTCTCAGGGTGGAGCCAGGGCATATGTATTTTATTACTACCAGATTAATCTGATTGTTGACCATGGGTGACAGGTGGTTGTGGATATTTTGTTAGCAACCCAGGATTGAGTCCGAGTGAGGATAATGCCCTCAAGCCTGCCTTGGCAGAGCCAGGTGGGAAGCAGTGCTAGCCATCTGGTATCGGGGAAGAACATTTGGAGCTGCTGTTTATTCACTAAACTATTCATGCTGAATTAATGTTTGGGTAATGGTCTATGACAGTGCCTCACAAACTGAAGTGTTCATCATCAGAGTCACCTGGAGGCTTGTTAAATTACAGATTGCTGGACTCTCCCCCCAGAGTTTCTAATTCAGTAGGTCTAGGTGTGGCCTGAAAATTTGGATTTCTAACAAACTCCAGGGTGATATTGATGGTCCTTGGATCACACTTTGGGTAGCACTGGTGTATGATTGGAAGGTAATAAAAATCATTTATAATCATGAGTTACAGTGACTGCTTTCCCTGTTGAGTCAAAGCTTTAGAGTAGTAGTAGACTGTGTTGGCATAGAATAGGTCAGAGGAAGACACTGAGTTGGTTGCTTGGCTAGGGGAATAGCCGGAGGCTGGGCAGGACAGTCAGGATATGGGACAGTTGGGAACATGAGTGTAGCTCACCTGCCTCAGCCCCAAAGCCTCTTAGCAGCCGTGTACCATCTCTAAGTGGGAAGTCCGAGAAGATTCTGACTCTCGCTTCCACCTTCGTGCTACTTTTTCTGTTTGGAATACTTGTCTTCGTATGGCCGGTTCCTTCTCATTGTGTAGGACTACTCGCAGACTGTTCTTCCTCATTGAGGCCTCTCCTCCAAAACTTCCTGTCGCATCAGAAAGGTCAAATAGCCCTTCCTGGGTATGTTTGGTGATTTGTTTGTCTACCCTCACAAGAGAGCAATCTGCTTAAAGATGGGGCTCTTTCTGCCTTACTCATTGCTGTGTTCCCAGTGCCTGGTGCAGGGTAGGCCTGGAATATAATTCTGTGTAGGAATAAGTAAGTGGTATTGGTCACAGACCTTGCTGGAGGGGTTTTATGAATTATGAAGTCTTTATGCATTTTAACTTGATATTAATGCTTCTGCTCTTTTTCCTCACAGCATGTTATGGAAAGCAACCATTGTACTCACTAGAGGGGTATCAGTTCAGTATCGCTACTTCAAAGGGTGCTTTTTAGAACCAAAGGTATGTTTTCTTTATCTAGTTTCCAGTTTCTTTAACAAACTTACTTCTTTTAAAAAGCAACTAATTTAAGTTTGGAAACACTGAAAGTCATGAGTTTGTTTTGATCAAAAAAGGAAAACAGAACTCTAGATTAATAATATTTTAGTGCTAAAAAGCAAGCAAGTAGCCACTTCAGAGGCAGACGATGTCTGCAGTGGAATTTGTAAAAGACTAATAGTAAGTATACTCTGCAGTATTCTTGTTATGAAATTGGTTTTAATGATAAATGAGTGTTCTCAGTAGCTGTGCTTTTTCTGTAACTTTTGTAAACCTGTTAGTAACCAGTTAAAAGGGTTTTCTTTTTGTTTCATTTTTTAATCCTTATGTGGTATAAATACATTTGAAGGCGTATATAGCCAGCTTTGAGTAATTATTTTAGAAAATTATTTCACAATAGCCATCTCTTAGTGGCTGCATTTGTTTTAACTCCTATCAAAACTGAAAGTCATTCCTCTTAGAATTTTTTCAACCATGGTGTTGATAGATGAGGATCTTTTCTGAAGGCCTTTGGAGTATCTGTAAAATCTAATCTGCTTGCTCACAATGATTTATTATTTGGGGATTGTTTTCATATTTAGAAAAGAAAAAAAGTTGATTCTTTCCCTCTTATTTTAAAGATGCTTATTTCCTGAAAGGATTCTTTTCCTTCAGATTTTTATCTTTGAGCACACTTAGGCTGCATGTGAGCAGGGGTTTAGGCAGGAATCTAGGAAGCAAAACATGGATTAAACCGTTTTAAAATTTTATTTCCCTTTGGGATCATTGAATACTTGTTACCTGTGAAAAATGCAAGCAGCCGCTGTTACCTCATTCTCTTAGCCACCATTATAGAAAAGAAAAAGTTCTGACAAAGCCACTTCAGCTGTCTTTTGCACCTATTACGTTTCTTATTCCAAGAATATATTGTAAATACTCAGTAATTAAAATTACATTACGGTTGATCGTTGCGTTGGCTTATCTTGACAATAGTCTCATTTTAATGACTGAAGATCATTTATTTGGCGTAAGGGTTATGCATTGTGGCAAAGTTTTTCAGTTTAAATTGAACAGTTGTGCAGTGATAAGTAGGTCATGGCACTTGACATTGAAAGTTTATTTGAGGATCCTGGTATGTGAAATTTGTAATATGAAATCACCTAAATTTTACTTAAAGGGGCATTTGGACAAGAAAAATCAAAATGAGTCCTTTGGGCATAGTTTTCTAAAGTAAGACTGTTGTCAACATAGATGAAATTAAGCCAACCTACAGTATTTTCCCTCTTCATTGAAAATGTAACCAAAAGCAGCAAATCAGTCCAAACTGCCTTTCTGAAAAAATTGGCAAGAAGTCTGCTTACAGTAAAAAACAAGTTTTTCCCCTTGTAATACTTGCAAAAGTTTACAGTATGTGTTGGTGAGTGTGTTTCTTTAAGTAGGTGCTCTGTATCGTGTACACATGTACCGTGTGATGCAGGGGCTGCCATGGTAAGTATGTTTTTCATGGACTAGAGTAAATAGCTACATAAAATCCCATGCATATAGCTAGAGGTTTTTTTTTTTTTTTCCACATGCCAGCTTAAAGTGACACTTCTTTTCTTTTAAAAAAGTTGGTGGCGCTCTTTAAATGAAACATAATTTTAAATAGAAATAATTATGAAACTTTGTCTCAGTTGTGCATTGTCAAATGATAAAATAATGTGCAGAGAATCTTAAATTGTAAAATGTAAATTATTGGAATATATATTTTATGAATATAAAGAATGATGGGAAAGCAAAGTAATTATGAGACATTGAAAAGCTGAAATGAGTAGTAAGATTAATTTTGCTGAGGTAGTCTCCCCAAGCATTTGTAGAGCCTAAGCTAAAAATCCTTGTGGTCTTGTCACTTGATCTTTGTATTTCAGTTTTCTTATCTATAAAATAAAGGGCTTGGACCATAGATTTCCTAGGTCCCTTCCACTGCTAAAATTTAATTGCAAATAAGTAAAATTTTACCATTCATATTTTCTCCTCCGTTTTTGCTCTTTCTGGCATATTCTTTTTAGCTTAGAAGAGTCTTGAAATCCCTTTTCTCTCAACTTTTCATAGCTACCTATTGTCTTCTACTTTGTAGAATTAGAATGAGGTGTTAATATGTTGAATTTTAAAATAATTTTACAGGTGACAAATCAAAATACTACCTTGAACATAGCGAACAAAGGTTGTAGATATTCTTGGAATGAAAACACAGGTGGGAGTCTGCAGATGGTCCATTTAATTTCACATCTTCACCAGAAATAATTTTTCAGTGAACATCAATTAAAACATTTTTTTTAAAGATTTTATTTATTTGACAGAGAGAGACACAGAGAGGGAACACAACAAGGGGAGTGGGGAGAGGGAGAAGCAGGCTTCCAGCAGAGCAGGGAACCCCATGTGGGGCTCGATCCCAGCACCCTGGGATCATGACCTGAGCGGAAGGCAGATGCTTAACGACTGAGCTACCCAGGCGCCCCCAATTAAAACTTTTTTTTAATCCATTTCCATCCTTCTATACTTGTGGCCAGAATTGATGATGTAACCTGATACTGAAATGTTAGCCAATTTGTAATAATGTTGTCTGTGATTTTCCCTTCATTTCAATGGAAATAGCTTTTTATTTTCCGGTAACTTCTCTGTTTCTTATTTTTATAGGTGTTCACATTCACTCATAATTAGATTTGTTATAAACCCTTACTTTGTTCTTAATCTCCCTTGATTTTTGTTTTAAATCCTTTAACAAAAGAATCAATCATCTATGATAAGCACATCATTGTTTATTTTCAGAATAGCCCAGGTATCTTACTTTTTGTAGTGGTTTTCTTAATAAAATTCTTCTGGATGCTGAATACCCTCAGCTGTTAATCTCAAACTTGAACCATCTCACAAATGTCTGTCTGCCTAGCTTTCTTCACCTCACACTTATTCATAAGTGACCATTTTTCTTATTAGTCTTATTAAAAATCATGATTTTTAAATGTTGGTCTGGCCTTGCCATCATAGATAAAAATTCCTCAGAGCCCCTTTTACATGTACCTTTTTTCTTTCTCAAAATGTGGAAAGACAACAGTAAAATTTTAGAAGTTACATTTTTCATGGTATTTGAAAGCAGTGATACTACATGACTAGTTGATAATTTTGCTATGTGGTTTGCTCAAAACAAAACAGACCAAAAACCTCAGTCTACATATTGTTTCAGTGCTTGATGTAGCTGAGTGATGTCGGTCACTGTTTAAGAAAGCAGTCACTATGCTTTTCTTTCTTTGCAGAAATAGATTACTTTGTATTTTTATTAATATGCTTGTTTGGAAACATTTTAACAGTCATCTGATTTAATGTATGTTAAATTGTGAAACAACCCTGTCAATACTATTAATGGAATAATGTCTTCGACTGATGATGTTACTTTTTTCTTCAAAGATCCACCTTGCACTTGACTCCAGAGTGCTTAAAATTATGGCAGCCTTTTGTAGAATGGAACTGTTCTTTTTTCTAAGATCTTGAAGAATGAATGAGTTTGTTACATTTAGCGTATTAAAAAGGATTGCATGTTTTGGAGTCATTCCTGAGATTTTTAATTTCCCAGTGCTCAGGGCTTAAATGAAGTTCAGTAAGCTAAAATTGAAGATTACCTTCTAAAGCTTAATAAAGTAGTATAATTTTGAAAGTTCGCTGTATTTTAAAACTTGGTAGATTTTTTTTCTATATTATAACACTTTGTTGTACCAACAAACATGGATTTGTAGTGTGAACGCTTGTGTACCCAATTAGAAGTCATCCTTTGAATCAGCTCTTTGGATTGCTCCTCAAACGCTCCATTCTGTTCAAGCCTAAGTTATTTTATGCTGTGAGTAGTGGGTTTGCTACTAAAGCAGATGAGGGTGGAGTTATTAAAATATTATTAAAATATGTTTTCTACCAAATATTTTATCCACAGGGCTATTCTGACATGATTAGACGTAGATATCGTAGTCAACATTTTATAAAGTTCCCCTGACGCTGAATTGATACAAAAACAAAAACAAACTCTCCTTTCTTCTATCCACTTCTTATCCCTGCTGATATTTAATAGTATGTGCCTGGCACCCTTTGAAGTCACCTCTGGTTAGTAACTTCTGTAAGAATGTAGATCCATACCATCTTTGTAGCAAAGAGGAAATTTTTGGGGGAAGGGGGGTGTGCAGGGGACATGAGAGGAATGGGGGAAGGGTATAGGTTAGATCTTTCTGGCTACTCTCTGTTGCTAAGAAACATTGTTCCTTTCTTAATGTATATATTTGCATCTTTTCAGGATCAGAAAGTTTGATGTTTAAGAAAGAAATTCAAAAAAATGTGATGGGAAAGTCATAGTAAAAAACATCTAGCAGATGTAGGATTAAATGTATCTTCCTTTTTTTAGTGTAAAGGAAATGAAATTCACTATATTTAAGATGAGCGGTTTCACAGTAAAAAAAAAATTTTTTTTAAACATCTGCCCAGTCTGCTGACTCATAAGTTGAACCCTTAAAACAAGGAGGTATTCAGCTAGAGAAAATGAGGATTTGCTATCTTATCCCATTTGCTATATGATTTGAATGAATATCTAATACTATTTTAGTTTTCAAAGTTCAAAAGTTTGCAAGTTTTAAAAAAGATTTCAACCTCTGGTTATTTTTAAGTAGCGGAATATCTCTTGCATTTAATTACTTAATGTGCCTAATTTGTCTCATACTCGTTTATTATCATTTGGCACATTTATTATTAATATTGAGACCTGTAAAATGATACAGAAGAGTATTTAATACCATCTAAAAGTGTACACAATATATAGAGAGAAGCTTATATGTTCTGTGGTTTTTAAGAGTATGTAATATATGCCTAGAAAAGGGCTTTTGAAGATTATGTATGAAAATATCAATAGTGATTATCCCTAAGTGGTGTGATGATGAATGATTTTTGTGTTTTCTTTTTGCTTTTTTGTATTTTATTAAATGTCTTCTGAAGATGTGAAGAGAAATGTAAAATACCTTGTAAGGTTACCATTGAAATTCTGCTTCTAAAATGTCTATTTGACGGTTTTATTTTGGCACATAAGTTTAGTCAATTTTTTTTTTTTTAATAAAGAAAATTAGGAAGCATTTAGTTAGTAGTTAGTCCTTTAGGTGTACATAGGGAATCTTAGTTGATAGTTCATTTTTGTTTTTAAATTGCTGTAGATGTTAACACAAAGCTTTATTTTCCCTTTTAGTAAGAGAACTTGATAACAAGACAATATTAGAAGTTTTCATACTGTATGAGTTTATGAACTGTATGTTAACACATAAAGCTTTATTTTCCCTTTTAGTAAGAGAACTTGATAACAGAAGACAATATTAGAAGTTTTTACACTGTACGAGTTTATGAACTGTAAGACTAGATGGTAGTCCCCTTCTTGTCAGACTTATTCTTCCAATTTACTCATGCACATGTACTTTCTTTTAGGGTTTTCCTGTGCTTTTTAGAAACACTGGTTACTGTGATAACAAGAAATCTGATGTTCTTCCTGTTATTTACTTAGTATAATAAAGAACTTTGTTATGCCCTCTAGTTCCTTGTGATCATTGATCTTGAAGTACTTGTACCTACTATTCCTACTATCGTAGAGTACAGGCTTTTCCCAAACACTTGGAGAGTTATTTGAGATAACTTTATTCAGTTATTTATAATACCTCATTGACCGCTGACAACCAAGCATAAAGTATATTTGGTGTTAACTTTAATTTATGAGAACAGAACATCAGCTAAATATGAAAATTTCTTTGAAACAATTTGGAGTCTTGTAGGCAGATTTAAGATGGTTTTATGTGCCAGTTTCATCTCCTTTTTCTCTGTTTACTGCCTCACTGTCCTTTTCTTCCAGCACTCATAATGTTTTGTGAGATGGTACATTCCTGATTTTTGGCATATAATATTGATAAATAACAAGATGAATCTTTTGGTTTCATATTTAGTATAAGATTTAGGCCACAAACATCTAATGGAGTCATGGGTAGAAAATAAGATATAAGAAATTATTGCAGACGTTTAACTTTTAAATTGCAGACTATCGGTGGTCCATGCCAAGTCATAGTTCACAAGTGGGAGACTCATCTACAACCACGATCAATAACCCCTTTAGGTATGGGCATTAACTGCATCTGTTTGAGGCATATGCATAAAGTTACTAATATGCTGCACAATGGCTTAGTGGGATTTAATAAATTTTTATTCTAAAGTTTAAGGTCGATGCATTGTCAATACTGCAAATTTCACTTAGCATATCATGGATCTTTTAAAACTAAACAGTTCTTAATTGCCTTTCTTTATAAACTGTTAGAAATGCTTGCCGAGTTATTTTTATTTGGGGGGATTAGATTAATTTATTGTGGAATATTTATTTTCATTTGGAGTAGTTAACAAAGTTTGTAAAATAACATTCTTCTTGACTGAGCATCCACGGCTTTGATTACTCGCTTAGAGAGCTTAGAGAACATTTGAGGAAAAAATTAATCCAAAACAAAGATTCTTAAATTTTTAACTTTGAATAGTAAGAGCAATAGAATAAGTTAACCTATTTATTCTGTGTGGTTTTTTTTAACTAATAAATCCTTGATTAAACTTGTATGAATGCATTCAGATTTCTTGGTTGTAGCATACATATTTTCCTCCTGATTTACTTAAATACCTGCTGGCTATGTTAAAATTGATACTCAGATAGTTGGTTTTATTTTGTTCTTGTTTTTGTTTTTTTTTTTCCCTAAAACATCATTCAGTTTTCTTGTGCCAAAAAATGGCATTTCTCTTCATACAAGTATTTTTAAATGTCCTTTTCCATACGGAGATTAAAATTTGAAGTTCATTTCGTATACATAAATTACCCACTTGGACTCATCTGTAAATTCACTCGTGCTGAGAACTGTATCTTTTAGTTTTTAGAGAAAATTAGAATTTAAAGATATTAAATGGCTTGCTAGTAGCTATCTTAGATTAGAAAGCAGTGAGAGATCCTGTTTTACCCTGTGGCAAGGACACGTCTTGTTTAAACAGATATTTCATTCCATCCTCTTTATTGGATTTTCTTTTTATGTTTTAATACATTTTTTATAGTATATTTAGAATTTTCATGAATAGTGTACTTTAGAATTACAATAGTCCCATACTGAGGTTGGAAATTATTAGGTATTAAACATTTAAAAAATAATTTGCGTTTGAAAGCATCTTGCAGTTAAATATATTTTCTTATTGTGAGAAGTGGGATGTTTGTTTCTGGTCTTTAAAAAATTAATTTTATGCTTTTGGGAAACATAACCTCTAAACTTAAGAGCTGCGTGAAATCTACCAAGAATATTGGGAACTATCACACCTATTTTGACAAATATTTCGGTATAAGTTAAACTGGGAAAGGAAGTAGCAGGGAAGATCATTAGTGTTTTACTGAAGAGGGTGGGGCTTACCAGCTTTTCTTATTTAGCTGAAATTTCTGTTAGAAGGGAATGTGCTAGCACTTATTCTTTTTGTAGTTCTTCACAGCTCTGTATATACAGGTAAGTTTGTGCTGTTTCTAAAGCTTGTAGCTGGCTATAGAGAATAGTTGGGATTCGAGGAGAGTTACGTTTTAGATAAGTTCAGAATATGCACTACATAAGAATAAGCATTTTAATTGTGCCAAGAGCTTTGGTTTAAAAAATCAACCAGGAGATATTGTTGTCCAGCAGCCTGTCTCATAAATTGGTGGGTGTAGAGATTTGTTCCAGGGCCTCTAGAGCACCTCTCTGAGGAGTCTTCTTTCCCTTCCTTGTAACACCACGAATCATCACCAAGTTTGTAAGAACTTTTACTGTTCGATTACCTCCTTAAAAGGGAATTCTTGATTGAGGGCTACAATAAATATGCTTATTCACTTTGGGCTGCTTTTAAACTTTAGATTTCATATTTTAAAAATCCTTAATGTGGGTAATTTCTCAGTTTTTCATTCTGTATACATCATGAATTTTAACTGGTTTTTTTATTTTCCTTCAATTCTAGAAAGTGAAATTATTATTGACGATGGACAATTTGGAATCCACAGTAAGTGAGACTTAGTTTTGACAATTTTTACTGATACAATTGAGATGTTACCTTACATTTCATTAGAAACAGCACAGGGAAATAAGACTGTATGACAGTGAAAATAGAGACTAGATCCAAGAAACAAGTACATTCTGTTAAATAATAGTTTCCAATATAATCCTTAAGCTTTAAAAAATTTTATCCTTTTCGTTTTTATTTGACTGGTGACTTCAGATGTATGAATTAATATACTTAATTTAAGAATATACTTAACTGTTAATATATCATCACTTTTTAACCCTTATGTTTAGTATTAATGTTTCTGAACATTCTAAACTCTTTTAAGCTAGGTTTGTGCATTTTGTGTGTATATGCATTTACAGTAAAATCCAGATTAAACAAAATGTTCCAGTAATTCTCCTGAGATTTTAACAATTAATTTACAGTAGAATAGACGATCCTTTTACTTCTGAGTATGTTGAAAATGTCATACATTCATGTATTTTTCTGCTTCACTAAATACTTTATCCTGAGGGTTCATGTTGTCTTCGGTGACTGGAATTCTCACAGTAGAATAGTGTTATCATGGTAGAACTGCATTTTTATTTTAGATCATACTATAGAAGTCAAAGATACAAAGGGGGTGAGCAGAATGTGTGCTTGCACTGACTGTGAACCAGAGATGAATTGCTGATACTAGGTGCCTATGTTTATGCACCTGAGAAATGTACATGCTTTGGCAATATTTGGATAGGAATTAAACTTCTTTTCCTTAATTTTATTTGAGATTATTTATATAACATTATAAGGTAGTCTAAAATACTTGCATAGCTTTAGTTTTAGTGCTTTAGAGTCTTGTTCTCTTTATTTACAAAAGATGGTATTTATGCTACATGTTTTAGAGAGCTTGTTGGATGGAGAAGTAGCTTTCTCATGTTCTTAACTGTAAGGCAGGCCATTATATCCCTCTCTTCTATGTTAATATCTATGCAGTTATAAATGCAGGCATTTCTTTCCTCTTTTGTAGTTCTCTTAAACTCAGCTTTAGTTAGCTGTCGGGGTGGAAAACCGTCTCTCCAACTTTGTCCATTTCTGAGAACAGTTTAAAATTAAGAGAGGATAGTGGTTTCTCTTTATTTTTTAAAATTTGATAACTATTGAACCTCTTAAAGTTATACCTAAAGAGAAAAACTTCTTCTGTTTTTTTTTTAAGTCCTGTTGATAAAAAAGTTAGGTCCAAAACAGTTGACAGCTCTCTGGTATTTATGAACATTTTATGACATATGTTAGCAGGAAACTTCAAGTTAAATAATGCTAACACAGTGTTATCACAATCCTGCCATTTATGTCAGAACTTATAAAGGTGAGAATACAAAATTGGCTCACAGTTTTGTTCTTAACCTTCTCATGTCTCAAGCTCCAGCTTTAGTGGTAGAACTAATTTCAGCTGAATAGCTCATATGACGCTTTGGAAGCATGACAGCGGTCCTCCGTGAAACAACCGCTAGGTTAGAGCCAGTGAGGAATGTGGTATTCTTTCAGAAATTGATGCTATTACCTCGATAATGGACTCAGTACGAAATTTTAATTTCCTTAAGTTCTTCAATGTGGCTGCTTGTTTGTTTTTTTTTTAAGATTCTATTTATTTATTCATGAGAGACAGAGAGAGAGAGAGGCAGAGGGAGAAGCAGGCTCCCAAGGAGCAGGGAGCCCGATGCGGGACTCGATCCCAGAACCCTGGGATCATGACCTGAGCCGAAGGCAGACACTTAACCGTCTGAGCCACCCAGGCGCCCAAATGTGGTTGCTTGTTAACACTGAACTTTTTCCCCCCCTACTTCATATAAAAGTTTTTGAGTGATAAATTTAAGACCCCCGTGTGTTTGCTTTGGAGAGAAGTTCCAGTGATAACATAAACTGGGTGTATTAAAATGTGAACATGAACTAGATTGTTTCAAAAAAGTATGTATAATAATTACTGTGCTTTATATTTACTCTGCCAGATGGTGTTGAAACTCTGGATTCTGGATGGCTGACATGTCAGACTGAAATAAGATTACGTTTGCATTATTCTGAAAAACCTCCTGTCTCAATAACAAAGAAAAAATTAAAAAAATCTAGATTTAGGTATGCCCATGTGTATTTGTTACTTAGGCTACTTATTTTTACTAATGCTGTAGATTTCTGACCCATTTGTTTTTAGCCTTTAAGTGCATAAACTAAGAACATAACACACTTATAGATGTTACATTTTCTTATTGAAGGGTCTTGTGAGAATGAACTGCTTCCCTGACTCAGATTGTTCCAGTTAAACTGGAATTCTCTTAGTATTAATTGCTAAATTTGAAACCAGAAAATTTTCTTTCTATATAGGTAAGTGATTTCCAAGTGTATGTATCTTTGTGGTTTCTACCATTCAAAATTTCTTTTCTTTTTTTTTTTAGGATTTTGTGTTTATTTATTTGAGAGAGAGCGAGTGAGAGAGAAAGAGAAAGCATGTATGCGAGCTTGGGGAGGAGCAGAGGGAGAGGGACAAGCACATTCCGTGCCGAGATCCCATGATCCTGAGATCATGACCTTAGCCAAAACCAAGAGTTGGACATTTAACCTGCTGAGCCAGCTAGGTGCCCCCATTTAAAATTTCTTAGTGTAGCAATAGTTTGTTTTAAAATTGATATGACAAATGAATTTGTGCTAAATCAGGGGATAATGGTATAAACAGAGAAAAATGGTTATTGGAAATATCCTTCAGTGTTCCTAAAGTGTTCCTGTGGCTTGAAAATGAAAATTTCATGAAGAAAGGTAGCAGTGATCATGGCAGTTCCAGATTAGTTTCTTCTTACTCCTATAATAAGAATAGATTTCAAGCGTTGTGTAAATAGCTACATAGTTGAGTAACTTTATTTTTCCGTAACGTCATCATACATACCTTTAAGTGAGCTGGCTTCTAAATGACCCAGGCAGCCCTATCATTTGAGTTTTTGTAACTTAAGGACTGAGAGTTGTAAGTCTTGGTATGTAATGCATCCTTTTCTGACAAAATGTCAGGGCTGGGTTGAAAGGGCTATTTTCAGCAACCGAAGTAGTTAATAACACAATACTTAGTGTCTTTGTAATAAAACTTACAAGATACTGCAGGTAATAACCCAAAATGTTTTGTAATAACTGCTTAAATACTGTAGTACTTATCCCAGTCATAAAATTAAAAAGGGAAAGGGTGAGTAACACTTCACAGTCCTTTGCATTGGTTATTCTGAGAGGAAGCGGAAGGTTTTGGGTGTATCTTATCTTTGTGCATGGCGTTTCTAGGCCTTTTTCATACATAATTGAATCCTTTTTTCTTCTAAGCTTTATTTATTTATTACTTAGAGAGAGAGCGCGCACCCACATGAGCCCTCCCGCCCCCCAGCTGGGGTGGCGGGGGAGGGGCAGACTGGGTGGCTTAGTTAAGCCTCTTGAGTTTGGCATGTATTGATCTCAGGGTGGTGAGATTTGGCTCTGCACTTGGGGTGGAGTGTGTTTAACATAATTGAATCTTATTTACCTGTGAAAAGAAACAAGTTGTGTTACAGCTATAAAGTGTCGTCTTAGAATAAGAACTTGAGGGGTGCCTAGGTGGCTCAGATGGTTGAGCGTGTGCCTTCCGCTTGGGTCGTGGTCCCTGCTCAACTGGGAGCCTGCTTTTCCCTCTCCCTCTGCTGATCCCCCTGCTTGTGCTCTGTCAAATAAATAAATAAAATCTTTAAAAAAAGAAAAGAAAAAGAATAAGACCTTGAAATAAGGATGGCTGTGGAAGATAAAGATAAACCAGATGGTTGGTTGGGCTTATGAGGATTTTTTTCTTTCCTTGACTTTAGTTAAGAAATTAATAGATAATTAATGGTTGGGTTCTGCTTGCAAATTTCTGATTGCAAATGCATACTGAGTCCTATACCATTCTTGTTTATATAGAAGTTATTTTGAGGGTTAGTATCTATTACCGTGTTAATCAGGCTTAAATTGGAATATTTTTGTATAACCAAACTTTGGTGGGCTCTACAAATTAAGTAACTGATTGCTATTGAAATAATTGTGTATGGGGTACCTGGCTGGCTCAGTCTGAAGAGTATGTGACTCTTGATCTCAGGGTCGTGAATTTGAGCCCAATCTTGGATGTAGAGATTACTAAAAATATATATATATATAATAGTAATATAAACTGTTAAAAAATTGTGTATAACTAGAAATTTGTGTTCTGACCACCTTTTCCCCCCAAATTCGTATTTAGTGATAAACCTTCATGGGGTAGGAAATAAATTGATCTGCAAGAATATCAGGACTTTAAAAACTTATCAACAGCTTATGCATTTTATTTATTTATTTTTTAAAGATTTTATTTATTTTTTGACAGCGAGAGAGGGAATATAAGCAAGGGGGAGTGGGAGAGGGAGAAGCAGGTTTCCTGCTGAGCAGGGAGCCCAATGCGGGGCTCTATCCCAGGACTCTGGGATCATGACCCGAGCCCAAAGCAGACGCTTAACGACTGAGCCACCCAGGTGCCCCTAGCTTATGCATTTAAATAAAATATTAGACATGCTGTTCTTTCTAATGAGAAAGAACCAGCAAGTTTTTTTATTTTTTTTTTATTATCACCAAGTTTTAAGCAAGTTTCTCCTTTAGTTGACTCTGTCAAAGTGGAAAGACAGATTATAACCATTATAGAACTATTTGAAGAAAACCTTTAACATAAATGACTAAAATTTTTTTCATAAATCCCTTTAAACTTGAATTTTTTTTTTGTAAATGCACATTGCTGTTAGCAGAATAGTTATTTTTATCTTTGTGCCTTTCTTGCTTATTTATTACTGTCCAAATATGGTCTCTCTTCATATATCCTGGTAGAGAATGTTCCTTCAGGTTCACTAATAGAATCAGTTATCCAGAACTATTCTTTTATTTTTTAAAGATGTTATTTATTTCTTAGAGAGAGAGCAAGAAAGAGAGAGAGAGCACGAGCTGGGTGGAGGGGCAGGGAGCCCCATGCGGGGCTCGAACCCAGGACCCTGACATCATGACCTGAACTGAAGGTAGACGCTTAACTGACTAAGCCACCCAGGCACCCTGTTTGTTTCATTTAAAAAGTACTTATATGTAAATACATACACACATGTAAAAAGTGTGCGTGCATACAAATAACAATGCAGTATATCTTTTTTTAATAATGTACTTTTCACAGAATACCTGGACTCACTGTGGTAAGGTAGAAGAAAGGTGAAAATTTTTAATTTACAGCCTCCAACTCTATAGTCTTTTTTTTTTTTTTAAGATTTTATTTATTTATTTGAGAGAGAGAGAATGAGAGATAGCACGAGAGGGAAGAGGGTCAGAAGGAGAAGCAGACTCCCCGCCGAGCAGGGAGCCCGATGTGGGACTCGATCCTGGGACTCCAGGATCATGACCTGAGCCGAAGGCAGTCGCTTAACCAACTGAGCCACCCAGGCGCCCATCTGTAGTCTTTTTATGTACACTAAAAATATGATTCAGTTTGGTGCTTGTTTTATACATATATTCTTTTGTGAGACTTTTCAAAAGAAGTTGAGATAGCCAGTTAGAAATGAGATAATAGTAATGCTTCTATAGAAAAAGAATTACTGAAAACAACCTTGGGCATAATGAACATTTATCTTGTTTTATTTATTTTTTTTTTTAAAGATTTTATTTATTTATTCATGAGAGACAGAGAGAGAGAGGCAGAGGGAGAAGCAGGCTCCCAAGAAGCAGGGAGCCCGTTGCGGGACTCGATCCCAGGACCCTGGGATGATGACCTGAGCCGAAGGCAGACGCTTAACCATCTGAGCCACCCAGGCGCCCACATTTATCTTGTTTTAATTCTTTGCAGAAACATATGTAGATAAAAACATCAGTATATTTTAAAACATACTAATGCCTTAACCAGTAGTATGTGTAGTCTTGCATAATACCATATTTTTGTTACTTAAAGGATTAGTATATTCAGGGAGCACTATTTTTTTTTAGTATTTTATTTATTTGAGAGAGAGAATGAGATAGAGAGAGTACATGAGAGGGGGGAGGGTCAGAGGGAGAAGCAGACTCTCTGCTCAGCAGGGAGCCCGATGCGGGACTCAATCCCGGGACTCCAGGATCATGACCTGAGCCGAAGGCAGTTGCTTAACCACTGAGCCACCCAGGCACCCCAGGGAGCACTTTTTAAAGTTGGCGTTTATAACACTTGTATGAGTTTTCCTTTTCCATTTTTTTGCATTTCATTATTTTTTCCAAGCTTTGCACAGTGGCAGGATCGTAGCCAATGAGGTTTATCCGAGGCGCAATTATTGCTAATTCATGATTTTTTCCATTTGTGTAGGGTAAAGCTGACACTAGAGGGCTTGGAAGAGGATGATGATGATAGGGTATCTCCCACCGTTCTTCACAAAATGTCCAACAGTCTAGAGATCTCCTTAATAAGCGACAATGAGTTCAAGTGCAGGCATTCACAGCCAGAGTGTGGGTATGGCTTGCAGCCCGATCGTTGGACAGAGTACAGCATACAGACAATGGAACCAGATAACCTGGAACTAATATTTGATTTTTTTGAGGTGAGTAATTATTTCACAGAGGGAGTTGAGAAAGAGTGCAGGCATGGGTTTATTTTTATATGTTTTGACTTTTATTTTAGTCTGAGTGTAAACCCATGATTCATACATCCTTTCAGATGTTTGTCTCTACATTTTAGCAGGCTTAAAAAACTTGGAGTTGATAGACTCAGTACTATAAAAAAAGTTCAGCTGAATTGATGTTTTCCATCAAGACCAGATGTCTTAATATCTGTGCCTGGTTTTTTTTGTTTTTTTTTTTTTAAACCAACGTGGGGCTTGTACTCACAACCTCGAGATCAAGAGTTGCGTGATCGACTGAGCCAGCCAGGTGCTGCTGTGCCTATTCTAAATATCAATGAATAATATCCAAAGGAGCCTCCAAGAATAAATAGAGGGACGAGCGGACTGTATGACTCTTGATGGGCCGCCCAGTGTAACTAACATGATTGAGTCCTCCTCATGACTGAAGTCTGTGGTTTATTGAGGCATTTTTATAATAAGAATTCATAACAGCGGACTCATTTTTACAACTTTGCTTGGTAGTATAAATACGTAGCCAAAAAGAGTTGCTGTGAAAATTGTGCCAGGTTGTTCAGAATCTGCTACCGGCTTTCCAGAGCTCCTCGCGACTCAACACGAGAGCCCTCTGGCTTGGGGCTGTTCAGGGGTTCTCGTCTTCATAAGTCAGGCTGGGTCCTTGGCTAAGGTCCTCGCTTTACTGTGCGCAGCTTGTGGTTCTGTGTACTGCTTTCCTCAGACTCTGGCTCTTTGGCACTTCCACTCCCATTTCCATTAGACGAGAGACCTAGCCACGGTTTTGTGAAAATAGCAGACTACAGGATGGATTTAAACCCACAAGTAACATTTGTTACACTTGTTAAAATCATTATAGTCTTTGAATTATTTAATTTGATGATGCCTTTATGCATTGCCTTTGCAACTGGCTTTTTGTACGAAAAAGCTTTTTGCATTGTATGAAATTTAAAGTGTTTCCTTTCAAAAAGCTATAATAAAGAATTTTATTTTTAAAAAACCTATAATTCGATCTTACCTAAGTAATAAGATCTGTGGGACTTTATTGTAAAAATGTGAGGTTTTGGTTGAATGTTTCCTTATTTCTTAAAATACTCTCTTAAACGTCCTAACTTGCTTTTCATTTGTTAAGCAGTTTTGGAAATACTATTTTATTCGCAGACTAGTCTGATAAAATATCCAGTGTAATCTGCAAATGAGTATTCAGTTTCCTAGAGAGTTAATTATCCCTTTATGTTCTCTGTGGTAATGCATTTTTAGAGAATATAATACACATTAACAGCTCACTACAGGTGTATTTTAGTCTTTGAATATGAAGAGACTTAGAAACTTTGTCAGTGTTTTAAATTCATCTGATACATGTTAAAGGATCAGAAGTGCCAGTCAACAGAGTTATGACTAATAAAGTACCGTATAAAATCTTAAAATATTATATACTAAAAGAAAATGTATCATTTATTTTACAAAGAATCTTAGCTAAATTACCTGAATATAAATTTGATTCCTATTTATTATTGATCTTCCTCAGTAGATTATGAATTAATTTTAAGGGAGTTTTTTGATCTTTAAATGGGAAATACTGAAGTGTAAGAATGTGGATTATTTTAAACCTCATTTTTTATTTCAGGAAGATCTCAGTGAACATGTAGTTCAGGGTGATGCCCTTCCTGGACATGTAGGGACAGCGTGCCTCTTATCATCCACCATTGCCGAGAGTGGGAAGAGTGCTGGAATTCTTACTCTTCCCATCATGAGCAGAAATTCCAGAAAAACAATAGGCAAAGTGAGAGGTAAGCTGGGAGAAACAGAGGGGCCCTTTATAAATGAGCAAAGGTTAGGTTCGAATTTTAGTTAGCTTCAGATTGAGTTTTTGAGAATGGCGTTAAATTAATAATTTGTTTTTAGAATATTTACTACTACAATAGCAATAAGGGACATCTGTGAAAGTTTCTGGAAGCTTTACTCTGAATCAGTTTTGACTTGTTTTCTATTTGATAGAGATTGATAAAGTTGATTCGAGGGATATTTAAACGTAAATACCATTTAAATGCTCATCGTGGCCTTTTTAATCAGCTTTATCTTTATTTCTGCCCCTTTTTTTCTATGGAAGTTGACTATATAATTATTAAGCCATTACCAGGATACAGTTGTGACATGAAATCTTCATTTTCCAAGTATTGGAAGCCGAGAACACCATTGGATGTTGGACATCGAGGTGCAGGGAATTCTACAACAACTGCTCAGTAGGTTGAATATTTGAGTGGTATTTAGCATTTGGTAGCTTGCGCATAAGGTTCCATTGGTTTGGCCCATTCAAGGTCAAAGGATCCCTTTATTACCTGGGATTTAATGTAATTCAAATTAAGTAGAGACTAACTCTCTCATAAGACTCTGGTCAGTGTCTCTAATATCTACTGAACTGATGCCAAGAGGGACATTAAAAAGAGAAAGCCAGGAGGAAAAGCTTGATGCAGGAAGCAGCCTGAATCTCAGGGTGTGTTGTGGTCCCAACCTTTGGCATGCTCCTCTCTCTGGGTCTCGGTTTCCTCACCCGTTCTTGGTATCATTTCCATACTGCCGACCTGCTGGGTGTCAGCCTTTTCCCATTCCCCCGGTTGGCCAGGATTAAGTGCTCTGAGGCACCATTGCAAGGGGCAAGTCTCTGTGTCTCTTCTACTTGATGCCACTGCAAAAGATTGTTTTCCTTGAGTGGTCACCTCACTTGGGGAGGTATGTGTGGGTGTGGGATATGTTTATATTCGGCTTATAAGAATAGAGCTTGCATTTCTGGAATAAATGCATATCATTATTATGGTTAGAGCTTGCATTTCTGGAATAAATGCATATCATTATTATGATTAGAGCTTGTGTTTCTGGAATAAATGCATATACCCACCAAGTGATGGTCACAGTCTTAATTTGGGGATGGCAGAAGGAGCTTCAGAATAGAGAATATTGAGCTGTTTCCATTGTTAAAGATATAGTTGGCTTTTTTTTTTTTTAAGATTTTATTTATTTATTTGAGAGGGAGAGGGACAAGCAGACTCCCCCGCAAGCGCAGAGCCTGATGTCAGCAGGGCTCTATCCCAGGACCCTGAGATCCCGATCTGAACCTAAGTCAGACACTTAACGACTGAGCCATCCAAGCACCCCAGCTGGCTTCTTTATTACATTTGTTTTCTTTATCTTTTCTATAGTGGATGATAACGGTATTTCTATATATTTCTTCTCTTTCAGGCTTGCTAAAGTTCAAGAAAATACTATTGCTTCTTTAAGAAATGCTGCTAGTCATGTAAGTGACCTTCTCTTTTTTTGAATGACTTGGGACCGTTGGTCCAAAGATAACAAAGTAGAGAATTATGGGCTTGGGGAATCTCTTCCCTTTATTCTCTTTAATAGCTTCAAAAGGTTAAGTAGGTTAAAAATGCATGCTTCTTCTGAATATGATTCTAAGTGAAGATAAAGTATCTCTGAGCATTTGTTTTTAGATTCTTGGTGAAGATTGTGATGAAAACTATAGAATCATTAGCACGTTTGAGATTACAGGTTTTTTTGTTTGTTTTAAAAGATTTTATGTATCAAGAGAAAGAGAGCGAGACAGCATAAGCAGGGGGAGGGGCAGAGGGAGAGGGAGAAGCAGACTCCCCACTTAGCAGGGAGCCCAACGTGGGGCTCAATCCCAGGACCCTGGGATCATGACCCCAGGCAAAGGCAGACGTTCAACCGACTGAGCCACCCAGGAGCCCCTGAGATTACAAGTTTTGAGTGATTGGAACAAGAAAAACAATCCCCATTAAGCACTGGTTTTCATTAACTGAGTATTGTGCTCACTCAGATACTTTGGAAATAATGCTTACAGAAGGATTTGATGGTGGTTTTATGTAAGACTTAAGTCTGTCAGTTTATGTCCTGCATACCAACTTGATTATGTTAAATTTCTTAATTCTTTTTATCCATTTATAAAAGGTTAGAGTCCATTTTTTAGCTTTCAGTTTTTTTCAGCAACTACAACTTGACATTTTTAATCAAGAACCTGAGATTCCCCTGTCTCCTCCTGCTGCCTTGTACCTGACTGAAAAACCTCATGCTCTAAAGTTAAACTAGGGGGGAAATGGAGGAGAACAGCTCATTCTTTTATTTTCATTTTCTCCACAGTGTTCTCCACGTGCCTTAAACTTTGCCTTTTTAAATAGTTCAGCAAGTAAACTTGATTAGTGTGATGTTTAATTTTATTACTTGTATGAGCAAACATCTATTCTAAGATATACTTTTTTCATATTTGAGCATCTCTACAATTGGTTAGCGTTTTACAACTTTCTTAGCCTTGCATCCTGGTGTCATGGGCAGCATTTTTTCCCCTTTTAGCGGTATATGAAGCATATTATAATTCATGACATTTTATTTTAGTGTTTAAAAATATTAATAGTAGATTCTTCTGTCTTTTGTTGAAAGGATGATATTAAATCTATGAGTGTTGGGGGCTCTGGTTCATTATTTGGAACCAGTTTCAGTTCATTGTAGCTAACTATTCTAAACATTGGTTTATTAGCTGTAAACACATGAAGATCCTGTTAAGGAACTTTTAGTGTCTCCATGCCTTTTTTTTTTTTTTTTTTTTTAAAGAGGGAAGTCGGAAGAGGCAGCAGTAGAGGGAGGGGAGAATCTTAAGCGGCTAGCACAGAGTCCGACACAGGGCTCGATCTCACAACCCTGAGATCATGACCCGAGCCAAAATCAAGAGTCAGTTGCTTAACTGACTGAGCCACCCAGGCATCCCTCCGTGCTTTTTGAGAGAAAATTTCTTTAAGCTTTTTTTCTTCCATGTTCTGTTGAGATCCTTTGTAAGTCATATGGATCACATTTTAGAATGCCATATGCTAGTTATTAATGACTTGTTTATTTTAATGTTAAAAACATATCCTTGAAGGGGTTGTGATATGTTATTGGCTTATTTCTTAAGGCTCACACATGGATTTTGGGATCAGGTTTTCTCTCGCAGTAAAATTATCTTCCAAAGGGTGGTGATCCTGTAAAGTTAAACATTTAAACTACAGAGGTATAATTTGTTTACTCAGTATAACTGTTTAAGGATGCTAGGGTTTGTTCTCTTTGGTGGAAACGCTTTTTTTGTTATTGTCTTGTTTTATAGCACTAGAAGGAGCTAAACTTCCTGTTTCAGAATTCATCAAGGAAATAGGCTTCGATTCTAGTCTCTGATCCACATGTGCTCACAAGTGGGACACCCCTCCGTGACCTAAAGCTCGGGGAGGGGTGGAAGCATGTCATCTGTCCTTACACAAGCACTTCTCTGGGCTGCAGGAACATATAGAATGCTCACACCTTGTTTCCTTTGATCCCAGCCAGCTTTCTTTCAGTGAATGCACACCTTTGTGGGTCAGTTTATGTTCTAAGCTTTATTTGGATTAATTCCTATGTCAGAATGGGTCCGACTTGGAAAAATGCATCCTTAACTCATCCTCGTCATCCTCCTGGCTGTTGAGGCTCTGTCAGGAGATTGGGCTTGTGCAGGGCCGTTCTTGACCCCCTTGCAGCTTTCTGTCTTTTCAGCAGCACCTGTCATTTCCTCTTGACTCTGCTTTTGGGGTTTTGCCAGGAAAGGCTGGAAGGTGTGCCGCTCAAGTGCACCAGGGTGCAGAGCGGAGACATTGTGGCTTCTTCCTTTCCCTCCTCAGCTTTGAGGGTCAGCTATCTGGCCATGGAACTTCGGGGCAGTATGGCACAAGCTGGCCCCGCTCCCTGTTCCTGGCAGGCTATCCATTTCTGCTAAGGGCAGCAGCAGAGGTGACAGGCTGGCCACTGCCACAGCGCAGCCCTGGGGTGTGTTGAGGTGGATCAGTGTGCCCATGTTTTTGCTGGGAAAAAATTGCTTGTGCTGTCATAACAAAGAACAATAAAAAAATTGTAAGAGAAGAAATTACTTTTTAGAAAAAACTTGAAACATAACATTAATTCATGAGGAAGTTTTTTTGTTTTGTATACAGGTCTGAGTTTATAGTCAACAGTGAATTTCTTATGTCCTCGTAGTTTTCGATGTATTGTGGGCCAGATAATGTTTTTGAAGTACCTCTTTTCTTTATTTCTGTTAGGGGGCAGCCTTTGTAGAATTTGATGTACATCTTTCAAAAGATTTTGTGCCTGTGGTGTATCATGATCTTACCTGTTGTTTGACAATGAAAAAGGTATGTTGAAATTCCTTCACTTTATTTCATCTTATTTATTTTTTAAGGGGGGGAGGGGAGAGAGAATCTTAAGCAGACTCTGTGCCCAGCGCAGAGCCTGACACGGGGCTCGATCTCACAACCCTGAGATCATGACCTGAGCTGAAATCAAGAGTTGGTCGCTTAATGGACTTAGCCACCCTAGTGCCTCCAAATTCCTTCATTTTAAACTCTTACAGTTAGATAGGTTTAAACACTAGGAAGTTGGTTTTACATATATGTGTATAGTCATTTATTAGGGTTGATCAATTCATTTTTTTTTTGCCAAAAAATGAATTGGCACCAAAAAAAAGATGCCAATTCTTTCCTCTGTCAAGCTCCCGCAACATCGAGAGATTAAGGAGATGGGAATAATAATTGCCTAGAGTGGGGTCTCTGTATTGCTGATTTGCTTTCTTCTACTATCTAACAAAAGGACCTTCCAGGTGGCTTCTCTATCAGTCTGCCGCTGTTCCTGTATTGAAGCAAGAGAGGAAGCTATCAGAGTGTCTGTTTTCTAGGCTCCCTTCTATTCCTGCTTCAAGCTTTTCCTCAGATTAATAGGTTAGTATGATTTGGCCAAAAAGAAAAGAGCCACAGTGGAAAAGCACTTTGGAGCCAGATAGTGGAGGGCCTCAGGAAAGGGGTGTAGATTTAGGAGCTAGGAAGATGTGACAGACTCTTGAGTCAAGAAGGGAAATGTTCAGAACTAAACCTCTAGATGTAAGTACCTGATGTAAGGGGAATTTAAGAGGACAGAGACTGGAGACAGGGGGAGTGGTAATTGGCCAAAGATACAGTAAGCCTGGGCCAGTGTGGAGATAGAATGGAGAATGGCACAGTGGAGGAGAAAGTCCAGAAGGAGATTTGAAAAGATACATTGTTTCATAAAAATTGTAACCGTTGTGCAAACATAATTGTGATAATTGCATAGTGCTTAAACTTTAGTGTACAAATTAACCAAGTGATTTCTTAACTTAAACTAGGAGGGGGCGCCTGGGTGGCTCAGTCGTTAAGCGTCTGCCTTCGGCTCAGGTCATGATCCCAGGGTCCTGGGATGGAGCCCCACATCGGGCTCCCTGCTCGGCAGGAAGCCTGCTTCTCCCTCTCCCTCTCCCACTCCCCCTGCTTGTGTTCCCTCTCTCTCTCTCTGTCAAATAAATAAATAAAATCTTCAAAAAGAAAGAATCTGGCAAATATACAACTCTCAAAAAAAAAAAAAAAACTTAAACTAGGAGAGTTCATTTGGCATTTTCTATAAAACTATTGGGTATCATTTTCCATTGAGGTGATTTAAAGTTAAGGCTAGCTTGCTAACATATATAGGACACTCTACCAGACACAGTTGTTGTGGTATATATGGCAAGGTGCCTGGCTCTTCCTGCTCGTGGATTTGAATCAGTCATGGGGGTTTGGATTACTATGATGTATGGAAAAGCACGCTTCCACTTCTAGAAGTGGACCCCACTGTTTTGGGGGACCTCACTGTTTTTGCATATGTGAAGGGGCTAGGCTCTAAGTCTTTGTTGGTAGACCATAGGGGCTGACCCTTCTCGTCCATAGTCTTAGGAGAGAGAAGGAAGGAGATGCACCTATTTAGATAATAGAGGTAAAATAACTTAGTAGAAAAGGAGAAGATTGTTTTGCTCTGGGGAAAAAAATCAGTGCAAAAGTGGAACAGGAAGAAATGGAGCAGTAAAGATCTTCGTAACCGAGATTGAGGTTAATCAAGCTGTAATTTCAAAAACTCTATGAGTTAATTGAAAAGTATCACTGATGTGGTTTTCACCAGACTTTGTCTTGTTCTTAAGTTGAACCTGGATGAGTTAGAGAATGAAAGTAACAAATTGTACGTATTTTTAGTTTTAATTTTTAAGCTGGTATTTTCCTTAACAAAATCAGTTCATGTTCATTGTAAAACTGCTGAAGATTATGACATGAAAAATAAATCTTCCTTTCCCCTTTCTCCTTGGTCACACACTTCCTTACTCTTAACAGTTTCTTTCTGTCCTCTAGAAGAGCATTATGCACAGGTTTATACCATATGTATGTGAATGAATATAATGGATTTTAGCATATTTGTTGATTGATGATTTATTGGTGGTCCATTAATTCATTTCCTTAAGATAGGGGTGCCTAAATAGTGTGATGTTTGATATGGTAGTAAAATCTAATAAAACAGATTTGTTCATGGGGAAAACATTTGTAATAGAGTTCCTGTTAAGATTAGAGTTCCTGTTAAATATTACTGCTTAAAACTAATCAGACTTTTTTTTCCCATGACCATTGATTTCTGTGGCTATTTTTAACCAAACTTAAGTTTAAAAGGTTTAGAAACTTACTGACAGAAATTAATCCTTGTATAGTCCTTGTACATGTTGATTCCCTAGTCATGTAGCATGGATATATATATGTCAAATAAAATGTCAGCAGCATGACAGGAAGTAGGGGAAATGACTGATTTCTGGCTTTCTTCTTAGTTTGTCTTCAGGGCCCCATCCTCCTCCCAGCTGTTTTTTCCTTCCAGGCACTCCCACCCACATCAAAAACGAAAACCAGAATTTAAGATCTGGAAGGTGGTGTTTAAAAAAAGAGGGGCTCCCCTGCATGGGCTTGCTGCGGGCTCTGAACAGTTCTCATCATTCACTACGTTGGGATGTTAGGCCTGTCTAGGGTTAAACATTCAGTAATAATTTGAGGCCTATTTTTCTCTTTCTTTTCTTTTTAGAAATTTGATGCTGATCCAGTTGAATTATTTGAAATTCCAGTAAAGGAATTAACATTTGACCAACTCCAGTTGTTAAAGGTAGTAATGATAACATAAAATGTAAATGATCTTTTAGTTTTAGAATGATTTATACTTTGTTTTCTTTGTGCATGGAGATGACTATATATTTAGCATGAGGAGAATGTATGCTTTGGTTCTCTGTACTATTAGGAAGAATGGGTTTGCGCTAATCCATCTGTCTTCTCTAACAGTTTCCACGGACCCTGCTGTTTTTGCATATGTGAAGGGGCTAGGTTATAAATGTGTTAGTAGACCATAGGGGCTGACCCTTCTCATTCATAGTCTTAGGTTGCCTCTGGTCTGCATTAGCCCTTCTTTATATAACTATTTTACAGTTGACCTTTTATGCTGTCCTTGGTTTTTATACTTCTGTCACTAAGATCTTTGTATATTTTTTATACCATGTAATTTTATATGATCACTCTTCCTGTTCTCACTAGATACCTATATAAATGGTTGATTGAGTATAAACAGTTTCTTAAGAATTTTTATATTCTTCTTCCCTACTTGGGTATTTGATCATGATCTTATGTGTATGTATGCGCATATAAAATATATATAGTGGTTAGTGACTATTTTTATTAAACTGATAATTCTACATTTTATGGTTTTCTTTAACTTGCTAGCTTTTCAAGTTACAGTTCTGTTAACCGTATCTTCATAAATTAAGGCTTTTTTTCTGATTGCGTTTTGTGTGTGTGTGTGTGTTTTCTAGCTCGCTCATGTGACTGCTCTAAAATCTAAAGATCTGAAAGGTATGTACCAATATGGAAGCACTATTTTCATTTCCTTTTTTTTTAACATACCCTCGGTCATTTTAATTAATATATTATTGGGCTATCTAAATAATTTTATAGACATGAAGTCTTTACATATATTAATTTTCAAATGCATTTATGTCATGTGTATAGTAATTATGAGTTTTTACTTTTATGAGTTTTCTTAGCTTGATGATCAAAGTTCTTTGTAACTTTGTACCTATCATTTTTTCCAAACATTCTTAACCAAAGAAGAAAGTGGAGGATATATCAAGTATGAAAGCTGGCTCTAGAGCCAGGAGTTTCAATACAACTCTTAACATTCACCAGCTGTGACCTTGGGTGGGTTACTTTACTTTAACCACTTTGTCCCTCAGTTTCCCTAAAGCTTGTCCTGCCTACAAAATCCCTTTGTAATTGTACTTCACTTGGCACTCTCATAGAACTTCATGGTTTGTGCCATTCATTTGCGGTTTAATGGCTCCTTTTTTTAACACTTTATTCTGTATATGTCCTGTCTCTTCAACTAGAATGTAAATCTCTCTAGTGTGGAAAACATGTTTTTGTATTCCCCAAGACACTTACAATGCTCTGTATGTAGTAGGTGCACATTAGATATTTATCTGCAGTTTTGATAACAGGATGGTTGGAATGACTTTATGAAGATACTATAAAGTGTTAAAGACTCCAAAGGTTATCCCCAGAGCATTGATATGACTTTGTAGGCTTTATAGCTATTTCATGACTGTTAATAATAAAATGAATTTTCTTTATTTATTATTTTTATTTAGCCGGAAATTTTTATGTGACTTTAGTCTTCGTAGTACACAGGGTTTTTTTTGTTTGTTCGTTTGTTTTTTTAAATCTTTTTTTTTTAAGATTTTATTTATTTATTTGAGAGAGAGAATGAGAGAGAGAGCATGAGAGGGGGGAGGGTCAGAGGGAGAAGCAGACTCCCTGCCGAGCAGGGAGCCTGATGCGGGACTCAGATCCTGGGACTCCAGGACCATGACCTGAGCCGAAGGCGGTCGCTTAACCGACTGAGCCACCCAGGCACCCAACAGGGTTGGTTTGTTTGTTTTTGAGAAAAGTTTGGGGTGCCTGGGTGGCTCAGTCAGTTAAGCGACCGCCTTCGGCTCAGGTCAGAAGCTGATTTTGATATTTCAAATAGAAGCCTTAGCAAGAGGACACAGCTCTTAATTCCATTGAGAAATAACAAATCACTGCTGGTGACTACTTTGTAAAAAGTAGTATTATAGTGTTTATAAGAAAATACTCACTGTTGGGGCCTCAAACTTGGTGTTTCTGTGAAATGTTGCAAACTAGTTTTCATATTTCAAAATATGAAAACTATGTTAAGTATTATTTCAAAAGGGAGGTCTTAATGGTTAAACATAAGAACCTTCAAAAATACTACATATGAAAAGATCTCATAATTACCTTTGCATCTTTTGTTTTAAGAGTTTAGGATAAGATCTTAGTGATAAAATGGTATTTTATCTACTGAGCTTTTGTAATTTAAATTTTCAGAATCTGTGGTTGAGGAAGAAAATTCTTTTTCTGAAAATCAGCCGTTTCCTTCTCTTAAGATGGTAAGTTCCTTAGGGAAACTAGCACAAGCCTATCTCATTAATTCTGTTATAACTAAATAAGTTATTTTGGTCTCTTAGATGGGCACTAAAAAGGCTGTGTCAAAGACAGCATTTATATAAACTTGTCATTGATTCTTTTTAGAGAAGATATATTTTTGTATGGTGTACCTATGCTACTTTTTAAGAGTAACTTATCTGCTCAAATGAATAAAAATCCCCACCTTAATGGGTTAATTTGGTAAGAACAGGAAATTCACGTATTTCTCTATATAAACAAGAAATAGAGGGCACAGAAAAAGGGGCGGGAGGGACATGTGATGGTGGAAGAGCATTTTTACAATATTTAAAACTGTTCCGGGGCGCCTGGCTGGCTCGGTCAGAGGAGCATGCGACTCTTGATCTTGGATCGTGAGTTCTAGCCCCATTTGGGTGTAGAGATAATTAGTAAATAAAAACCTGAAGAAAAAAAAAACAAAACCAAACTATTCCTTAGCTTTTAGAGAGAAATGAGATTCTCTAACCAAAGAATATAAGTATCTTCATTACTCAAAATGAGACACAAATTTCAAGAATTCACTTGAAAAAGTATAACAAATACTAGCATGAAGATTTCAAAACTAGACACAATTCATACAGGAATCTCTTTACTGTATCAGGCAAGCCCCTGTGGATGCCGGGCACTCCTTGCTCGTGCTGGGTCTGCTTTTTTCCCCTACTGGCTCCATTTCCTAACTTCTGTTCTTCTCCATTGTCTTTTTCTGATGTCAGGTACAGTAGATGTCTTAGGCAACAGTTTATCATGATTATTCACACAACAGAAAAGAACCTACAAGAGAGCTCCTAAAACATGATTGGAATAATTTTCCAGATATTTGTGAAGGCCAGCCAAGTAACGTCATTCCTTCTGGTTCAAAAATCTGAAATCGTTTGGTTCTGAGAAATCTCATGATTCCTAGACCTGTGATTAAAAACAACTTTTAAAAAAATTGTACATTAACGGTTTAACATTTACTTAGCCAAATAAGTTAAACACACTTTTATTCGCATACTTTGCCACTGTCACTATAATTTAATCACAGAAATTTTAAAACCAAAAAAGGCCAAATAAAATCTGTTTGTTTATTTTTAAGAAAGGGAAAGAGCTCAAGTGGAGGTGCTGGGGGGGAGGGGCAGAGGGAAAGGGGGAGAGAGAGTCTTAAGCAGGCTCAGGCTCAGTGCAGAGCCCTATGCTGGGCTCGATTTCATGACACTGAGATACTGACCTGAGCTGAAATCAAGAGTGGGATGCTTAACAGACTGAGCCACCCAGGTGCCCCTAAAATCTCAATTTAAAGGAGACTTCTTTGTAAATTTGATGTTCAGCAGTCTCAATACTAATATACACTATTGTCCTTACTTTTCTAATTTTGTATTAGTCCGGTAAAAACATGATAGGTACATTAAATAAAATAAGCCTAAAGGTATCAGAGAAGAAAGTCAAAAAGCCCCACATGAAGTTGAGTACACAGTTTTAGGTACTGTACTTTCTATGCAGCTGGTTAGTGCAGACCCAAGACCTATGATGGTGAAAGGATTTGAGGTTAAAGACGCATCTTTGTGGTAGTTCTGCCATCACAGATGTTGCCTAAGACTACTGCTTTTGCTGTTTAATTTCTTTTGACTTCCTTATTTAACTTAATCATCAACAAGGTTGTTAGTTTGGGTATGAGAAAAGATAGTGGTTTATGCTGAAGGCACAAAACATTTTATCCTTACTTAGTGATATGTTTTACTATAGGTTGCTTTTGGTAATAATTCTCTTCTTTTTTTCTTCTCTTATTCTGCCATTCATCTCACCAAAATCAAAACAAAATTCACCTCCAACAAACAAAACTCTAGGTTTTAGAGTCTTTGCCAGAAGATGTAGGGTTTAACATAGAAATAAAATGGATCTGCCAACAGAGGGTAAGTAATCCTTGACAGAACACCTTCTTCCTCTCTCTCCCCCTCATTTCGTTAAATGCGTTTGTTCCCATCTCCTTATTTTAATGGAAAAGTGAAGCTGAAATCTTACTGTGGCTTCTTCCACCATTATTGGACCTTTTTAATAAAGCATACTTTATCATTATACTATATGTGAGTACTTGAAAGTAGTGATGAATATATTGTAGTATAAATGTCAATTTACATGTGTCTCGTGCACATTAATATGGATGGTTTCTGGATATACTTATAAAATGAACAGTGAATACTGGACAGTTAACTTTATAACTGATTAGTTTTTATTTTCTTACTCTCCATCTAAACATATATTTTAAATAATTCCCTAAGCAGTTTTCTGTTAAGTGGCAGTAGTAGCTAGTAATAGTTAACCAAGAAAAGAAATTTCTGCAGGTGTGTTTTAAATCATGCCCAGAGTTAGACATTTTCTTGTTCAACAATTTATATTGAAAAGCTGCTATGGGTGAGGCATTTTGTGGGTGCTGGGTTCAGGTAGTGAACAAACAGAATAAACCTTGCCTTCTTGGAACTTATAGTCTAGTTGAGGAAAACAATTAACTATTGAATATATCAGATGGGGATATGTATAAATGGTTGGGGTGCCTGGTAAGAGGGTTGTTGGGCCTGGGGGTTGCTGAAAGCGGCTAATTCAGGTATGATTGGGCAATCAGAGCAATATGCTGGAATTTGTTTTGATCAGAATAATATATAACTGCCCTCAGATCTTGCCTTCTAAGTACTGTTTATGATAAGCTAGTCCCAGTTAACATAGTGATTTTTCTTAAGTGATTTTTAGTTTTCTGAGCTTTTAGGATTTAATGACTAATATATAAAACATCCAATATTTGAATATCGACAGGGCTCTTTTAGTGTCTTAGCTATATTTAGAGAATGGTATTTGTTTGAGGGTACTTGATAAGTCTTAAGAGTCAAAGAATGAGGTTTTTAATTAGTAATTAATAATCTGGGTTTTTTTTGTGGGGGGTGGCACCTGGGTGGCTCAGTTGTTAAGCATCTGCCTTCGGTTCAGGTCGTGGTCCCAGGGTCCTGGGATCAAGCCCCGCGTCGGGCTCCCTGCTCAGCGGGAAGCCTGCTTCTCCCTCTCCCACTCCCCCTGCTTGTGTTCCCTGTCTCGCTGTGTCTCTCTCTCTGTCAAATAAATAAATAAAATCTTTAAAAACAAAAAAATTACCTGGGTTTTTGGTAATGAATTAGCAAATGAAGTCCTTTTTTCTTACAGTTCATGAAGATTATAGAAATACTTTATTTTTTTAAAAGCTGTTACTTATTTGAGAGAGAGTATGAGCGTGGGAGGGGAAAGGAAGAGGGAGAAGCAGACTCCCTGCTGAGCGAGGAGCCTGATGTGGGGCTCGATCCCAGGACCCTGAGATCATGACCTGAGCCGAAGTTAGACGTTTAATCGACTGAGCCACCCAGGCACCCCTATATAAAAATATTTTAACTTCAGTAGAGTGCAGATTTCCAGAGTTTTGGCTTTTTATTTTAACTTTATTAAAGGAAAAGTTTACTGATGGTATAACTGCTTTGTATCTAAGTGTCTCTACCTGAATTTTGACAGCTGCACTATCACTAAGTAGCTGTGTGGTCTTGGGCAAGTTACTTAATCTTTTTAGGCCTCTGCTTTCCACATGTAAAATAAGAGTTGGATTAGATGTTCCCAAGATTTTTTTTCTGGCACTGATTCTAGGGTATCTAATGACTTTTGTTTTCCTGTTTATTTCTTCCACATAGGATGGAATGTGGGATGGTAACTTATCAACATATTTTGACATGAATATGTTTTTGGATATAATTTTAAAAACTGTCTTAGAAAATTCTGGGAAGAGGAGAATAGTGTTTTCTTCATTTGATGCAGATATTTGCACAATGTGAGTAATATTCAGTTTTTTTCACCTATACTCTTCGACAGTAGCTGGTACTTAGGGTACAGAGATTGTGGTTGGAGGTAGGGAGGTTGCCCAGATTTCACCCTTGACTTGACCTTTCAGTCAGGTTATATATATCTTCACATCCCTTTAGGACTGCCTGCAGGATGCCCTCCCAACTCCTCCAGTGTACTCCACACCCACTGGATCCTAGTACCTCACGCCCTGTGTTTCATTTTATAGGCCTGTAACCTCCTCTTTACCAAATTGTAAGCCCTCAAGGGCTTTCTTGTTGCCCATTGCTGAGAATATTTTAGCTCTTGTATAGAATGATTTAAAATTTTTCTTTTTGATTGAAAGGTGCAGTACATGTTAATGGTGATTATATCTCAATAATGGGATTATGGTCTTTTGGGGGAGGTGGTTTCTTTATATTTTTAGAGTTTCCTAAAATTCTAAAACAGTATATTAGAATTATCTCCCTGATGAAAAGTATTTTTAAATTGTCTTTTTTAGGGTTCGGCAGAAGCAGAACAAGTACCCCATATTATTTTTGACTCAAGGAAAATCTGATATTTACCCTGAACTCATGGACCTCAGATCTCGGACAACCCCCATTGCAATGAGCTTTGCACAGTTTGAAAACCTACTGGTAAGTTATGCTTAATTTTTTTTTATTACTATTTTAATTTTTTAAGAAATGACTTAGAGCAGTAGTAAATAAGTTTTCATGTTATTTTACACCTCTGATTGGTTAGTTTTGACACATTTCTAACAAGCTGATAGCTCTACTTAAATAAGGATATTAGATCTCAGAATGAAAAGCAGTTAAATGAACGACAAAATATTTTCTTGCGGACCTAGGTTAAGTAAGTTTCTGAGTGGATTTTATGAATCATCTAAAATGACTTGACTGTAAATTTGTTTGATAAAATAAATTAGAAGAAAAAGTTCTCACATTTTTTTCTCTGCCCAGTCTACTTTGGGGAACACTGATGGAGATTGTGATCATTTAGCATTTGTAGTTAATAATATTAGTTACTTTTTCATGAGTAACTTATTTTTCTTCTTTTAGGGGATAAATGCACATACTGAAGACCTGCTCAGAAACCCATCCTATATTCAGGAGGCAAAAGCTAAGGGACTAGTCATATTCTGCTGGGGTGATGATACCAACGATCCCGAAAACAGAAAGAAACTGAAGGAACTTGGAGTTAATGGTCTAATTTATGATAGGTATTTGTTTTTCATGAAAAGTTTTCATGGATTGTTAGAAAAAAAATAGTTGTTTTATAAAATTAAAAATAATATTAAACTTAGTTAAGTTAAAATTCTGTAGTTCAGCCTGAGGTTTATCTTAACATTTGTCAGTGGAATTTTTCAAACTCTGGAGTATAGCACAACCATGTGGGAAGCTTATTAAACATTTGGATGACTGGGCTCTATACCAGATGTGCTGTCATCTTGGGGGTTGGGGGGGCTGTCTCCCCCAGACCTATCTGCACCAACTTTCTTGGGAATCTCATCCAGTTCTGTGGTTTTTCATACCTTTATTCTCCAATTTTTGTATCTCCAACGTTTGTCTCTTTCCCCTGACCGCTTACATTTTTATATCCAGCTATCAACACCTATCCTTTCTCTAGACTTCCTGATTTCAATATACATGGCAACTCTGTCTTTCTGGTTTCTCAGTCCAAATCCTTGGAGTCTTTCGTGGCTCTATTCTTAAACTCATACTCTAAAACCAGTCAAACAGAATCTTGTTGATTCTGTCTTCAGAATATACCCTGAATGTATCTACTCACCATATTGACTCTTGTCACTCTCTGCTAAGACAACCTCATTTCTCATTTGGCTTACTGAAGTCCATCTGCTTACTGTCCACTCCTTTATCTACGCCTCCTTGCTCTCTGTTCTCAGCACAGCAGCCAGAGGGGAGCCTGTTCTAACTGAAGTCAGATCGTGTTACTGCATAAAACTCCCATGGGTCTCTTTGTCACCTAGAGTAAAATCCAAGATCCTTCCAAGGCCCTACATGAGCTGATGCCCATCTTTCTTCCTCCAGCTCCCACCCCAACATACCCACACAAACATAAGCTCCATGAGGACAGGCTCTTTGCCTGTTTTTGTTCACTCCTGTGTCTCCAAAAGTTAGAACAATGTGTGACACACAGTAGGGGTTCAAATATTTGTTGAACAAAAGTTTTTTTCCTTTTTTTTTTTTATAAGCTCCCTAGGTGTGTTTATGATATGTTTGAGAGCCACTAATTGGAGAGACGAAAAGATTGCTTAATATAAAGAAATTTGGGGTTAGAAGGGATGTCATTTAGTCCGCTGAGGGGTTAGCAGGCTTGCTAATACTTGAGCAACATCCTATAAAGAGTAAGTGATGAAATTCTTACAAGGCCTGCTTTAAAAAAATTTCTTTCCTTGGATGTAGTTCACTTTACTGTTTGTCCTGTATAGTTAATACCACTTATACACTTCCAACTAATTAAAGGAAGATAAAAATTTTTACAGTAACCATTTGAAAGAAGTGCTGGCTTTAGCAAAATTTCTGAAGAATATTTCTTCGAGGAGGAGGAAGGAATGACTGCAAATATTTTCAGGCAAGAAAATGTATTCTGAGACAAACTGTATGACTTTGTAGGGTGTACACATTTTAGGCAGATCCTTTGAAGGGCCTTACTTGGTTGGAGCCAAAATGTGACACGTAATGGACAACAGGAAGATACTTTGTGGTATAAAAGGCCCTGAAGAAAGTGAGTAATCTTCCTGGCCCAGGGTCAATAAGAATAATTTTAAAGAGGAAGCATTGAGTTGGTTTTTGGGGGTGGCTAAGTTTGCTTTGACAGGATTTGAGTTTTAGGCAGAAGCAATAGCGTGACTCAGGGCAGGACTATGTTGAAGGTGTGGAAGACATTGAGGAGATAGCTGAGGACGGGGCTCCCGCTGGGGTCTGTTAAGAGTTGTATTTACCCTTGAAAGTTGTTGGGTTTTTTTGTTTTGTTGTTTAATGTTTTAATCAAAGAAGTGTGTGTGTAAGGTTTACAGTAAAAACCAGCAGTTCCCTATGCCTGTCCCTTTCATTGTTTTTTGCTAAGTTCCTGTGGCCGAATGTTTTTTATTTTAAGAGAGAGCGAGCGGGTAGGGGGCAGAGGGAGAGAAATCTTAAGCAAGCTCCATTCCCAGTGTGTGGAGCCTGACTCGGGGCTCAGTGTCATGACCCTGAGATCATGACCTAAGCCAAAATCGCACTTAACCAATTGAGCCACCCAGGTGCCCCACCCTAATGTTTCTTTAGCTGTTTCTTCTGGTATGTAATGTGCTTATGCTAATTTTTTTATTATCAAATCTAGACGTAATAGAGAAGGTTTTGAACGATTAGTGATTTTGGAGCCTTTGATCTGTTTTATGTTGGGGAGAATTGTTGATGAGAGTGGGTGTTTTAGTTGATCAAAACTGATTTCTTTTCTCTCACAAAGGCAGTAACAGTGTAGATTTTACATTTAATCATGGTTTTGTGGTACATTATCTCATATAAAGAGCTATGTTTGATTTGCTGATATTTGGGATTTTTGCATTTGTGATAATGAGTAAGATGACCTTTAATTTACCTTTCTCAACTGGTTGTTGTCTCATTTTGGTATGGGGAAAGTACTTAACCTCATAAAGTAATTAGGCAATGTTTCCTGTATTTATAAAAAATTTACTGTGTCTGCTCAAATGATTAAAAAATAAATCCAGTAACAGACACCCATGTTTAGAGAACATTATCATTAGATTTGAAGTCTCCCATATGCCTCTCCCTAATTCAATTCCCTTATCTCCTCCTTTAGATATAACTGCTTATCAAATTATTATTCTCTTTGTAAAAATTTTAAATTCTTATTTCTATCACTAAATAATATACCATTCTTTAAACTTTATTTGTACTTTTTTTCTCATTTGTTATGTTCTTAAAATTAATCTATTTGTTGTATATAGCTATAATTTATTCATCTTTGTGGCTATGTAATATTCATGGCTATGTCTCCATTTCACAGTTTATTTTATATGAGAACATTTAGGTAGTTGCCAAGTTTTTGCTTTTGCAGTGTTTGCTGTAAACATTGTTGAACCAGGCCTTCTAGAATACATGTGAAAAGTTTCTCTAGGGCAGTGACTTTCAAACCTTTTTGACCCAACCCAGTTAGAAATGCATTCTACATTGTGAACAAGTGCACACATTGATACGTATATCTACAAGTATGTACCTGAAACAATTTTTAAAAATAATGGCCCTTGGATATTTTCTGTTTGTATGTGTACTTTTGAAATGCTAGTCCATTTTGCCACTGGCCTTCACCTTTTTAAATGCTAGTCTTAACTTTCCAAACTTGTTTTGCAACCCATTGTAAGGCATCTGTCTATGGGTCAGGTATTGCAAGTACATAAGGAATATGGTCCTGTGAAGTGGGTGGTTCTGTATTCCTTGGTTCTGTACCCACTGTAGCCTGCTACCAGTTCTCAGGAGTGGGCCAGTGCATAACAAACTGTCAGTTTATCATCAGCAGCACATAGTTAAGACAAGCCACATATAAGTAAGATTCTGATTCAGGCTCACTAGGGCACTCTGTCCTTAGGGTACAATGCTGGTCGAGTGGCAGTGGCCCTCTTGGAGTGATGAGAGACTCTCACACGCCTTCCTTTTCACTCAGACCGCTCTAGTGTAGACGCACTGACTTCTTTGGGCACGGCTGTCATCCTGAGTGAAGATTGCCCCCTGACCATCCCTGTGTCAGAGCTCCCATCGCCTGTAGTCCAGATCTTTTTTGCTTTCCTGTCATTTTTATGGAACACATCCTTCAGCATCTTCTTGAGAAAGGAGGACATGGAAAGTAAATGTTTGGTCTTGCATGCCTGGAAGTATTGTGGCTGGGCATAAAATTTCGTGTTAGGAAATCATTTTCTTTTAGAATTTTAAAAACATTTCTCCATCACATTCACAGTTTCAGTTTCAGTATTACTGTTGAGGAGGGTTCCCGCACATGGGATTTCTTTGTTTCCTATCTGGAAGCTTGCAGAGTCTTCTTGTCACCAGAGTTGTCAAGTTTCATAGAAATGGATCTTGGTGTGGGTCTGGTTTCATCCCTTGTGCTGGGCACACAGCAGCCCATTTAATCTGTTGATACATGTCCTTGAAGATACAGAGATTTTGTGAATTATTCTTTGATTTTTGTCTCTTCCGTTTTTCTCCCCCCCCACCCCCGAAATCCTTTAGTTTACATACTATTCACTCTTGGACCAGACTTCTAATTCTTATGTTTTCTCCTATTTTCTATCTTTGTCTTTTTGCTCTACTTTGAAAGATTTCTCCAACTTTATCATCCACTGTTCTATTGAGTTCTATTTTCTGTCTTTAGTTTTAAGAACTGTCTTTTTTCTCTGAATGCTCTTTTTTCTTCTATATATAACATCCTGTTTTGGTTCAATGAACTATTTCTGTGAAGGCATCAAGGGCTTTTTTTTTTTTTTTTTTTTGTCTTTGGAATTTTCTTCTCTTTGACTCAGTATCTTACATGTTAGAAGCTTTCCTCAGTTATTTGGAAATCCTTGGCTGCTTCTCATGGTAAGAAATTGGGATCTAAAAAGCTTGTTGAAGGCTCTGAGTGTGTGAATGGGGCTTGTTAACTTGGATTTCACTGTGGGGTGATCTGGGTGGCCTGTTTGGTCATACTTCTGATGTCAGTAGATTTAGAACTTTACTTTTTGGCTGACCAGATTCCTCACAGAAGAATCTATATAAACTACCTAGAGGATCCAGATCTGGCTCCCAGGGTTCTTGGGATTCAGGTAAGGGAAGAGAGCTGGGGAAGGGAGGGCATGCCTCTGAATTTTGCATGTGTTATATGTATGGACTGTCTCTAATTCCCCTGGTGCTGGTGGCTTTTGTAAAATGCCTGAACCCTCACCTGGTCTTCTAGTCCTCCATTCCAAGAGCTTTCCTGTTAAGTTCTCGAAATCAACCTAAGTGGGGGAGCGGGACGCTGGGCAGCCTCCATGGCAGGAAGTTAGAAGGAAGGGAGATGCTTACTGCTGCTCAGAGCCTTCACTCATCTTCCCTGTTTTAGCTGCCCCCCTCCCCCCTTCCCCAGTTCTAGGGGAATCTGGTGCTGCTTTTAACTCAGCCTTTTCATGTTTTCCACTACTGGCTTGCGATTTGCCCTTTTCCGTTCTGCTAACTGAAACACTTTGTTATTACTTATGCATCTGTTTTCCAGCTTCCAAAATTTTGTTGCTGTGTCTCTTTGTTTTTTTTCCCATACGCATGGATTCTTTTTTAATCCCTTTATTTTCTTTTTAATGGAATGTACAAAGAAAGTATAGTTGCTTCTGTTTTTGGTCTGATATCTTGACCCGGAGGTCACTTCTCATTCTCTTAGAAATTCTTTCCTACTATGATGTCACAACGACCTCTGTTGTAGCACCTCACGAGTTGCCTGGCCCTCACATTTAGGCCTGGAAGGCCATCCTGTCTCTGCTGATGGGCAGTGTGGTGCTGCCATTGTCACATGGGGCTTTTTCTGGCCTCTGAACTATGGGTACGTCGGCCTAGGCTGCACAACTTTAGGACAGTTCTCACAGTGCAGATCTTCAGGGCTTTGAAGTCACAACTGGGTATGAATTCCAACTCTGCCTCTTAATAGCTTCCCATCTGTAAAATACGGCATTGCCAGTTGATTGGCTTGGAGAGAAGATACGTGAAGAATCAATCACTAGGAAACTACAGGTTTATTTCATTTTCTGATTCAGTTGCTTTGTAATCCGTTCTTTTTCATTATGGGCACATAAGGACATGCTGCTGTTCTGTTGTTGGAAAGATGGAGAAGAAGTATTTTTAAATTGAACTGATACTTATATCTTTTAAAAAGGGAAGGGGGCTGTCGTACGATGGATGTTCCAGCTATTCTGTAATCAAATTGCCTGGAAAAGATTAAGTAAGACAGGTCTTAAGTAAACCATAAAATTACACTATTTTATGTGTTTTGTGTTTGTTTCATCATAGGATATATGACTGGATGCCTGAACAGCCAAATATATTCCAAGTGGAGCAGTTGGAACGCCTGAAGCAAGAATTGCCAGAGCTTAAGAGCTGTTTGTGTCCCACTGTTAGCCGCTTTGTTCCCTCGTCTTTGTGTGGGGAGCCTGGTATCCATGTGGATGCCAACGGCATTGATAACGTGGAGAGCGCTTAGTTTGTATTGGGCAGAGGCCATTTTGGGGCATGCACCGCTGTTCTGGGTATTGACTTTTCTTCATCGAGCATCGTTGATCCAAGCCTTCTAGGTTTCTCAGTCCAATGAAGCAATAATGAAGTATTTTACTCTTTCACTACAATTCTTGCTAGAATTTCACGTATGCTATTTAAATCACTTGGCCAGGTATAATTACCAGTCAGTCTCTTTACAATGAGAAAATTTATTGGTTGACAAACCTATTAAACTAAATATGTAAACATATAATGTTAAACAGATGTTCATTAAAAGCATAGTGCTTTGAAATTAACTATATAAATGTCTTATATTTACAGTTCTTACAGCTTTCATTTGATCAGGTCTGAAACATTTAGCACTTGGGGAACATGACTATGCATAATTATACCTGACCATGGAAAAAATAAGTACCTCAAATGCATGCATTTGCACTGGTGATTCCAACTGCACAAATCTTTGTGCCATCTATGTATATATGTATTTTTTACATGGATTGACATGCACAGACACCATTTTCATTCAGTATGAACCTTGAGGCTGCTGCCTTCTCCCACTTAACCAAACCAGTGCCTGTGTAAACAGCCTGCAGGTGATCCTTGAGAGCTTGTTTCATAAGTCTTTCAAAAGTTGTTTTGCATAAATGTTAAAGTTTCAAAAATGCTGCAGGGTAATTTAATGTATAAAACATTAGAAGTATGTATTGCATACTTATTAGAGTAGATCATATCATAATGTATAAATTCTATTCAATGCATGCTTTAGGTTTTAAGCATGAGATTGTACATGTTTACTGTAGGTCCTTGCATCTGTGGTGCTAGGTGAGTGTGAGAAGGTGTCAAGGACTGAAAATATTTTGTTGCCTAAAAAAAAAAAAAAAAAACCCTGTTTGTAGGCGTTTTCAATATGCTTATTTTAAGTGTCTCTCACTACCTATTACGCACCATTGCTTTGTGGGTTTGTTTTGTGTGTGTGTGTGTGTTGTACAGTAGTTAAATTTCCATGCAGAAAAATAAATGTCCTGAATTCTCATATTGGTATTCTTTATTGGTTAGTATATATCAGGCATGTAATTTATGTAGAAATGTAGAAGATCCTTCTAAATGTATATGCGTGTTTTTAGGATTATACTAAGGTTTCTTTGATTAGATGCTGATTGTTTTGGCATAACTGTAACTTAAGAACGAATGTTAAACAAAACATACAGATTTATTTTCTTCCTTATAAAACAAAATTTCAAGAAGGTATTACTTTTATAGACTTGATTCTATAATATTATTATGAGAAATTGGAACTTAGGAATTGGAATCCTACCCTAAAGTGATGAGTTTATTTGCATCTGCCTTTTACTGCATGTTCTTCACTAGGCAATTTATTCATGCATTGAGATCTTTTAGTTTAGTACTAGCTGAGAACCTAAGACTTGGAATTACACATTGTATCTTTTTTTTTAAGCCAAACAATGCAATTGTGTGATTTAATATCAATGAATTATGAAATTTAATATCAATTGTGTGAAGGCAGGCTTTGAATGCCCATGGTGTTGTGCTATAACACTGATATTTAATGGAAAAGAGTTTAGGAAATGCAGTCTTCTGCAAGGGTTCTATATACTTTTCCCACATTGAATGAGATTTTCCAACGCTTTGGTGTGAGTTAGGCAGTTTTAGAAAACTCCTAAAAAGGAATTTCATTTTCTTTGTCTGCAGACCTTTGTACAATACAGCGACCGTTACCTTATGGTAAGTTGATTAGCCATAGGTGTGCGTTTCCGATCTTGTTCGTTTGCTCTCCTCCCCTATGCCTTTCCAGTCCAGTGGCAATGCAGCTTCATGTTGAAGACTCACAGATCATTAAGGGAAAGGAGAGGTAATGGGGAGGGGGGGCGGTTTCCCAAACAGTGTAATTTGCTGCAAAGAGCTTACACAAGGATTGCTTATACCCCAGACAGAACCTCACTGCTCCCTTTCTTTCCTGTCCCTTCCCGACCTTGCAAACCAGGGTCAGCAGACAGTTAAAGCATAGCAAGCAGTAGCTCCCCATTGCTAGAGGACTGAGTCCAGGCTTCCATATCACTAGCTGTTGCCCTGCATGCTCTGCTCCGGCCACACTGTACCCATGGTAGGCCCTGGCCACGCCACGCTCCTACACAATTCCCTGTCTGTAGCCATGTGCCCTCTGCCTGGAAGCCCTCTCCTCCCCACAGACTCTCTCCCTGCCAGACTCCTTTCTCCTGAGCCCACAAGCTCTCTGAGTTCTTGCTGAAACTTCTGCAGAAGGGTGTGAATCCATCTTTTACTCCATGGCCGTATGTTCATACCTTGCTCATGCCATGCATCCTGGTACATTCTAGGTAGGCATAGTTGTTTGTCTCACCTACCAGGCTGCGGGCTTTTTCAAGGGCAGGGAACTTGTCATACTCTTTTTATTTCCACAGTGCATGGAACATGGTAGAAAATAAATGTTGGAATTGTTGGGATAATATAATTTGTATCAAATGTCCTTTTGAATTAAGAGATTTAATTATGTTTACTAAGAAAGTAAACTTTGGTTTACATTTTGACAGTTGGAACAGTTTGTTGATACCAATTTTAAATGTAGAGGTATAATGTTAAGATCATTTTATATTTTCTGGAAATTGAGTGCAATGTTTGATAAAATGCCGCCATTGTTCTCTGGTGTTTTCTACTCTCTGGAATTATGTACTGTAACTGACTGGATGTAAATGTGAGGAATACAGTTCATTCCTGTGTTGGTAGTGCCTAAGGGCTACCACAGCCACCCATTACCTCACTCCCATTGTCGCTTGTGTCTTCTCCCCTCCAGACCGCACGCTTACGCCTACCTCAGTACCACTTTCCTTGTCTGAAATGCCTTCTCTGTCTTCCTTCAGTGTCCAGCTCAGGTGCCACCTCCATAAAACTTGGCTCAGCTTTTGATCAGAATCATGATGCAAACAGATGCTTACAGCCTCTAAATCTCACTACTTCATTTTGCAGCTGGTCTACTAAACCCAGAGAAGTTAACTGACTTACCAGGTTGGGACTAAACTGGGTTTTGTGATTCCTAATTCTGTGTTCTTAATCTACGCTGCCTTCCGAATTCTTGTGGCATTTGTTAGCATGTGCTTTCTTACCGTTTTTTTAATGTGCCTGTTCTATTTCCCTAAGATTGTAAGCCCCTTAAGGGCAGGGACCTCTTTGCAATTCCTAGCGCTGCTATAGTGTTCTCTCCTTAGTTACGAACTAGACAAATAAATGGCGGTGGCAACGATCCTAGTTTCCCAATTAGATTGTTTCACAGTCTACATACAGTTTTGTATGGCCTGCTTGGCTCTGTTGTCTGGAGCGTGTGTGCTCGTGTGCATGCGTGTGCATGTGTGTCTGCATGTATACTCGTGGGGTTCTCACTCTGCCCCCATGGTTCGGGGTCACAGATGGCTTACTGTAAGCCGATTTTCTACTCCGTGCCAAATGAGGACAATTATGGGACTCAATGAAAGACGAGGCCCAGCTTTTCCCCCAGGCCTGGCTGGCCCTTCCTGGGCTGATACACCTAAATCCCGCAGCCGCTGGTCTGGGTGTGCGGGATGTGCTCCCTGGGATAGGACTCGGGTGACCCGTGGGCTGGCTGTCTCACTAGCCCTGGTGGAGCGTCACTGCCCTTTGTGCCTTGGCTCTTTGTCTTCACAGCTGGCCTCATTCTGTTTCGCATGTTGACTGGTACTCTAGGTCGGCAGTGGAGTCCTGTTAATTCAGATTTGGATATGACTCCTTTGCATTTTAAATTTGGGTTGTTTATTTTGGGGGTAGGAGGCAGTGTACGTATGAGGAACATTATTGCATTATTTTGTTGTTCCTGAGTAGAAATGTACTCAAAATCTCTTAGTTTATATGGTTTGAGAAATGGATTTGAATTGTCTAACATGCAAGAGAGCATATGATTAAGACCATGCAAGTGTGTGTTGGAGATAAGAGGAAGAGATAATAGGTTGAAGCTCTTGAGCCCTTGCAGAATGGGGTAGAGAGATCGGAGTAGTTGTGAAGCCACTTTGGGGCACAGCCTTCGTAAATCAGAAGCCAGGGTAGGGTGGTGTTTGTGGTGTGTTCAGAGAGAATGAAAGAACCATCCTGATAATGGAGAGGATATTTTTTTTTACGGATTTTAAAGGGAAATGAGAGAAATGTATTTTAAAATAACGAGGAAAGTAGTACAGGAATAATAAAAGAAGTGCAGAAATTAATTTGTCTAATCCTCCACTAAATTGGTCCAAGCATACACCTGCTCAGACCAAAAACAGAAACGCAGATGGGATAAGTGAGCTTCTGAAACTTACTTGCATATGTGCAAAGCTAAACTGTGTAATGTCACAGGAAGAAAACAAAGTTTAGTAAAAGTCTGTCCCACGGTTTCAAGTGTGTCTCTGCAGCCCAGATTTCTCCCGTAAGCCCAGATTTGCACATCCAGCTGTCTGTTTGCACCTCCACTTGGAGGTGTAATGGCAACCTCAAATGTAATGTACCTCCAAAAAACTCTTCTTCCTTCTGGTAAAACTTCGTATCCCACCTGCTTCAGTGATCTATGTCACAGTAAGTGACACCCAGGAGTATTACACTAATCACAAGTTACCAATAAGAAATCATGGAACTTTATATTATGATATGTGGTAAGTCAGTTGCCTGTTTGTTTCTTTTCAATTAAAAAAAAATCTTCCACGTATTCTTTTGCTTAATAGCATAGAATCATCTTACCAAGTGCCAGAAAAGTCCCCTTGGGATTTTGAACAGTGTTGGATTGATTTTCTAGATTAATGTGTGGGAAGGATTAATGTTTTAAAAATAGGAAGTCTTCCTATCCAGAACACAGAGTGTATCTCCATTTTTTCAGAATTTTTACATCTTCCAGTAAAATGAGTTTTTTCATTTATATATTGTATATTTTTTAAGGTTTATTCTTATATTTAAAAAACTACTTGAGGTTTTTTTCTAATTCCCATTTTCGTTACATATCTTCAATAATAGGCAGTTAATTTTTGTTTATTGATCTCGTCTGTAGCTACTCTGCTGAATTCAATTACTCAAAATATTTTGTTATTTTAAGTGTCTGGGATTTTCTAGTTGATCATATCTGCAAGTACATTTTTCTGATATTTAATAACAGCTTTTTCTTTATCTTGTCTTACTTCAGTAACTAATAACAATTGTAGGCATCCTTGTTTCTTTACTGACTGTAATGGGAAATTATTTGATGGCTACTGGGGATTCCAGTACATGACCCTTATCAAATTAAGGAAACTTCTTTTTCTTCTTGATTTGCTAAAGGATCTCTTCCCCCTCAGCTCCACTCCAGCCTCAAGGGATAGGTGTGGAATTTATTCAGTGAGTTTTTGAGGAGTTAGAAAACAATCACAGTTTTTCACTTATCTGTTAATTTTAATGGAGTGAACGATGCTGATACATTTTCTAATGTTGAATTACCTTTCAATAATTGGTATAAAACCTATTAGTGTTCTTTTGATAGTGATTGGCTGATTCGTTTAGGATTTATTATGTATATTCATAAATCAGATTGACTTAGTTTTCTTCTATTTATGTCTAGTTTTAGAGACCCATTAGGATAGCCTTATAAAGTCATTGAGTTAGCCTTTCAGGTTTTTCTATCATGTGGAACAGTGTTTATAATGTTAGTATCCTCTGTTTGTTGATGGTTTGATAAGTGCTCCTATAAAACTGTGTGCATATTTTCAAGTGTTTTTTTTTTTTTTTTTTCTCCTGCCCTCACAGTTTCTTCTTTAGTTATAGCCTGTTCGTGTTCTCTACTTTTTTATTAAATTTATATTTTGGGGGAAAACCAGCCAGTTTTCCTAGATTTAAAAAAAATTGTCCAGCTATGTGTTGTATTTAGTATTAGTGTGTGTATATATTATATAATATGTAATATATATACACACATAACTAAATACTGGGTATCATATATATGTAAAATCTTCTGAGATGTGACCACTTTTTCGTTCTTAATATTTTCTTTGGCATGAAGCAGGGAGTTAGCCTTGATTAGATTGCCAAAGGTCTTTTTTTTTTTTTAACTAGGCTTTAATAGTATTGAGCAGTGTTTTTACTATTTCATTAATTACTGCTCTTAAATTTAGTGTGTAAAATTCTACCTAATTTGGATTTATTTTGTACCTTTTCTTCTTTTTTTTGTTTTTAAAGATTTTATTTATTTGACAGAGAGAGACACAGCAAGACAGGGAACACAAGCAGGGGGAGTGGGAGAGGGAGAAGCAGGCTCCCCGCCGAGCAGGGAGCCCGATGCGGGGCTCCATC